GGAGGGCTCCGGAAATTTAGACCACCTGGGGTTCTTTAACGTGCACCCAAATCTGAGCACACGGGCCTACAACAGTTCCGCCTCCATAGGAAATGCAGCCGCCGCAGCCGGGATACGAACCCGCGACCTGCGGGTCAGCAGCCGAGTACCTTAGCCACTAGACCACCGCGGCGGGGCGTTGTAACAGGGTTATTCAGTACCATGTTGACAAGTAAAGAGCTTGTTTCGCAGAAATTCCAATAATGGCATCGTTTGTTCTGACCAAAAAATTCGGCGTTGCTCACGAGTGAAAATCTGAGATTGATGCAAACAAATACCGTAAAAACCGGACTATAGGTCGGACCGCAATATAGGACGACCCCCCAAAACTTCGAATCGTAAAAAAAGAAATTTAAAAAAATCGCAAAGTATCGCGGCACACCCTTACCTTGATAAAAACGCAACGCAACTAGCTGCACTGTGGTAACATTCATTTTTATTTAGACACTGTTCAATGCTAGGAGGTCACGAAGTTACTCGGACTCATCCGAACTCGAGTCGGATGATGTTTGTTTTTCACTAGCGATGTCCCAGAGTGCATCGTCCTCTGTGCCGTCTAACGCGTTGCTGATGCAGCATTTGCGGAAGGATTTGCGAACCATCTCTTCCGGGAGGGATTTCCAGGCTGACGACACCCAGCCACAAACGGTTGCGAGCGGTGGACGCCGTAGGCGGCCAGCGGGGGTCTTGGGATTGTCTCCCAGCATCCACTCACTGTAGAGCTCGCGCACGCGACCTTTAAACGGCTTGTTCAGCACAACGTCCAGTGGCTGGAGTATAGATGTCAGTCCCCCGGGGATGACAACAAGATCCGTCTTGCCATCGGACAGCGATCGCTTCACATCGGCCGTGAGGTGACCGCGATAAGAGTCGAGCACCAGCATGCTCGGTCGTTGAAAAAGGGCACCGGGTCGCCGGTTCCACACGAGCCGGATCCATTCAAGCATGAGGGATTCGTTCATGAACCCCTTCTCGCTTGCCCTCACGATCACATCCCGAGGGAAGTCCTCCTTCGGTAGCGTTTTCCTTTTAAAATAATATAAGGAGGCAGCTTCTTTCCGTCTGCTGTACACGCGAGCATCACGGTAAACCGCGAATGCTCGTTGCCCGTTGTCAATAGCTTCACTTGCTTCGCTGCTTTCTCGGTCACAGTCGTGTTCGATGGCATATCGAACCAGACCGGAGTTTCGTCAGCGTTGCCCATGTGGCCCATCATGTAGCAACGCTGTCGACGAAGCTCGATGACGAAGCGCTGATACTCCACAAGCTTGTGCTCGAACTCTGCGGGTAGTTTTTGGCACACTGAAGTACGCCGCCGCAGAACAAGGCCCTTCCGCTTCATGAATCGGCGCACCCACGATGGCGAGCCCTTGAATTGCGCCCTCGTGAGCCCCGAGTCGCGCGCAATCTCGAGCGCTTTCACGCGGATGCACTCCGTTGTCACGGGTAGCGACCTTGCGCGCAGCTCCCGTACGAACTCGACGAGTGCCGTTTCCAGTTCGGGGTGAACTGCAGTCCGTCCACGAAACGACGTTTTCTTCTGGTTGCTGCAACTTATGATGCGCTGTTTTCTGGCTCCTCCAGTATCGGATGCTCTTCTCCGTCGGGCCGAATTCTCGTTGTGCCGCCAGGTTGCCGTGGGCTTCCGCATATTCGATGACTTTTTTCTTGAAGCACATCGTGAACTGACGTCGGCTGCCACTCATATTGAAGGAGATAGCCTCAGATGGGGATAATGAAACAGCGCAAAACCACCGCAGCCACCCTTGCTTCGCAATCGGGACAAACAAAACGCAAAATGGGCGTCGCGGCCGCCCAACGATGCTGTTGCTGATGCTCACGATGGCAATGGAGCCTACCGACTTTTGTCAACCCATTGTTGCAAGACTTCCATAAGTTTTCTGCCAATGACCGGTATATAAGACGGGGGTCGACTTTTCATCGCGTCTCTTTGAAAAAAAATTCGACCTATATTCCGGTTTTTACGGTAATAAAGAGGTTCGCTTCAAGTGAGAACAGAACCCAGACCACTCTAGGTGGCATGCGGGAGACATGTCAATGTTTTTCAAGCATCTTCGCAAAAAAGAAGAAAAAAAAAACGCCAAGAACGCCACATAGCCGGAGGAGCCGTCAAAACACGTGGAATATTTATTGCAAGACAGCAGCGTAAAATCGCACCAGGCGTCAAAACATGTGAATTGCGCAACTAGATGCTTTTTTTTTTTTTTTTAGCTGCCCATCCATTGCAAAGTGTGAGGTTGCACAGATGCATGTGGCGCCTCTCGCACGCGTAGTGGGCACTTTGCAACTGTGCTTGCAGTAGGCATTCAAGGAAAGTCAGAAAGCAGCCAATGGCACGTGCACAAACGTCCTTTTCGTTGCAGCATGATCGATGGTGGTGCCCACGGCGTCCAATCGCGTTCTACTCTTGAAAGTGAGTCTCAAGCGTCCTTCAAGTTTCTCTTTTTTTTTTTCACTATTGTGCGCTATGACTGCGGCTATCGGCCACCACACTTTCTTTAAGGTGAACGGAAGTTGCGTGGTATTACGAAAAAAACAAATTCAGTAGACGCTCAGTAATTGGAAATATGTTTACCGGAACTGCTGCTTAACTCTTCCGTCACGGTGCGAAAATGGTTATTTTTCATGTGACTCCGGAAGATAGTTTTTTCCAGTTTGAAAAGTACTCCAGCACGCATTGCAGGCATAACAAGCTTTGCACTATAAAATGTTGTTTCCAGAAAATATATGTTGTAGGAATAACAAAACTACTTTGCAATTAAGAAAATGTGACAGATGTGCAATTTTTTGGTTGCCAGCTGGTAAACAGTGCAATTGAAAGGCACTATAAAAATATTCAAGACAAATAAAATTCAGCATATACATTCTGAGAATAAATGACCCATAAATAGTAAAAAAAAAATAAATGAACAAAATGCTTCGATTCACATAGACAAAGGAAATCGTAACCGAGGTGTTGCTTCATTGGTCGTGCCAAGCGATGAAGCATTGCTTGGTTCCTCGTGATACACAAGTGAACTCGTACACTTTCCTCGGAGAATTTTTGTTCTTTTGTGACGAGAGCCTACAGGTGTTTCAATACAGATGGATTCCCGTGATGTGAATGACCCCTACATAAATGAGACGTCCAATGTACTATGCTGTTTTGTATGGCGTCACCTCTTTCCACTGAGCCACCTCACTATGCATAGGTTGGCTTTTCAATATATGCATCAAGGCAAATTTCTTGACATATCTGCAAATCGTATTTAAAAAAAAAACGCCAGGCCTGCGCAGAAGGCACAGCACAGTGATAGCAAAAGCATGAAGAGCGGCTTTTCAGAGCCTTCTCTTAACACTCTTGGCGTAAATGCTAGAAGAACTCTTGCTATGTACCCACTATGCCATAAATATTCATAGTTTTTGCATAATAGGCCGGCATTCACTAAGCTATTATTCGTCATTCTACAAAGAAGCGTGGTATCCGCATGAATTTTGTATTGTGTTCAGTGGCTGAAGATGAAGAATTTGTGGGTATGAGCCACAGTTAACAAGTAAACAACAAGCTTTTGTAATGTGTTGGAGCATTAGACGACCCACTCATTACGTGATTCGCATTGTGTGACGCCTGGTTGTTCCTATTAACGCGATTGCTTTCCCAGCATAAAGCCTGCCTAAGACAAGTTTGCAATCGAGTCTCAAGCAGCCGGCGTGGCTCAGCAGTAAAATACTGGGCTGGCACACAGTGGACCCGGATTCAAATCTCGCTATGTCACGACATGTCTTTGGCGATATTAGTTACGGACAGCGGCGGCGGCGGTGGACAACTACGGCGCTGCACGTACTTGTGTTGTGATCTCATAACAGCTTCCGCTGTGAAATATCACGCGCAGTTCCAAATCGTTTCGAGATTCTCTGCAGTCAGGGACAATATGTGCTCCGATGGCCTTCTTGTGAGGAGCTCTGCAGCCGGCGCAGCCACACTGTGCCCTAACGACAGCGTGGACCTCGCATGTAACCAGAGTAGTTATGAGATTGTGCACAAGGGTTAGCAGCTATGCACTTGCGGTGGAGGAGACAGCTTGAGGCTGTAGACAATTGAGGCTGTAGACAGCTTGAGCGTGCAGTCTACAGCTTGAGGCTGTAGACGTGCAGGCTCCCACCCACACGCGCGTGGGTGAACTATATAGTGATACTAGTTGCGACCCTTTGTCTGAACGATACAAGCAAAACTGATGCAGCAGGAAACTGGCTAAGAAGGCCACCTCCACACTTTATACATGTGGCAGACCTTCAGAAATATAAATATATGTATATTTTTTTTTTGTAGAATACATTGTCCCCGACTCTCAGCAAGAGCTCTCTATTGAACTTCTGGCAATTATTACTGCCCAACACCAGTCAGGTTGCGAAGCTGACACATTAATTTGATATTTCACTTGCAAAGGTTCCTGTCATTACAGAACATTGATCTTACTGTAGCATAACCTCAACGGGCACGCACTTCTGTCACCAGCTAAATGCATTTACCCAACAACACATGCACATTCATTCATGCAAAGGTCTGTCAAAACTAACTATGTGCCTAAAACGGGCCGATTCAGATTGATTCCGAAAGTCGAGTGGCTGGACTAACTACTAGAAAGTCCTGGGTGCAGGAGAAACAAACACAGCATGTTGGAATCAACGATCTAAAGTGCCAATCGTTGGTAATCTATTTGAATAGGCTTGGTAACTAAAGAGTTAAACGAAACAATTGCTTCTTACACGATTTGTCTCCTACTGGTACTATTTTGCAGCCTTATTCATCTCTCGAAAGCATATGTTCGTGGTCCCTTCAGGTTCTGTTTAATGAGTCTACAGTGTAACATGAAACAAAATCTTCCAATTCACTTTGGGTCAGTTTACCACTAATACGATGATGTTTTTCTGTGTTCAGAGTGAAGGGCAAGACACATCACAATAGTCAGAAAAATCTGTTTACTACACAACACTGAAAACTAGAAAATAATATTTTTTAAATATGGTAATGTAGGCAAGTTGCACAGCCATGAGGGACGTTAAAGCCATTTCTGTTTTTTTTTTTGTAATTTTCAGGGCGTGAAAAACTATTCAAAACAAAGCGTCAAGGCACAACCACTAATTTAACAAAGTTCTCAGCTAGATGCGATTCACCTTCTTGTGAGTCTAACACAATGCACACTAGAACAATATATCGAAGGTTCATTACGCTGTTAGGAGTAAAAACAGAAAGAACGATAAGGAAGCCACTTTTTCATCAAAGTGCTGACGACCCATTACTAATTAGCCAAAAAACATACAACCTCTTACACAGTTACTAGGAGCGACAAAATGCGTGTGGCCATTTCGTAAGAGAAAACATGTGTAACTAGTTAAAAAAAGTAAAATCACGTATAAAAAAACGAGGGTACTGCAAAAGCAATCACAGCCACGATACGCATCTCGCCAAGCACGAAAGCCCTAAATAGAAACCTCTTCCATCACCGATAATTACTGACACAATGAGAGAAGAGAATTATAAGGTATTTTACACAAAGGAAAAAAAAAGTAAATACACTCAATCCTTGATATGTCTCCCAAAAATCACAGCACAGCACAACACATAAAGGCAGTGCTGCCGTATCTGCAAGGAGATGACATAAGAGTGCATATATATTATAATGTCGACCAGACAAGAAGGCACTAGGTTAAAAAGAGCACCGCTAGGCAAGATAAGAGAGTCAAAAGTGCGCAGACGACGTATTGCGCACGTGCGACCACGCTCCTCTTTGCCTTCAAGTATTGCTGGGTAATGTGCAGTCGTCAGCGAATGAAACGCGACAATGCGCACACGCTGTACTTGGGATACGTACGTACGTCAGGTGAGAATGCGCTGAAAAAAAAACAAAACACTTCGATACGGCGAGAAGAGACCGCGCACGATTACTCACGCCTACATCGTTAACTGTGCATCGCTTTGCATTTGTCGCATTTCATTCATCGGTCACCGCACGCAAGTCCAACACACAGAATGTGACGGCATATGGTTTGAACAAGACAGAAAGGAGAGAAGACAGCGCGCCACTCGCAAACCACACACGTACTCGGCTTGCCTTGGTGCATATTTCCCTGCACTGTGGGGCCCACATAAAAAGTGTCTGTACCATTTTTCTGCAAGCCACAGCAAAAGCGTATTCACAAATGAAATGTGTATTCACAAGAAAAAAAAAAAAGATTGCAGAGCACATGAGCACAATTCTTCTGCAGTTGGTCAGCTGTTATGATGAGAAAAGCTGCGGATGCAAAAGGAAGACAAACCTTGCCCTCTACAACGGTGCTGTAAAAGAAGTGTACATTCATTTATGCCATACACACATAAATATCTCTAAATATAACACAGCAAGAACAAAAAGCGGACTTCTGGGACCTAAACAAAGACTAGTGTAAAACCACATGGCGAAAGCTTGGGGAAAAAAAAATCTTTGCACGAACCAGTCTACATCTCAGTGGACTTCTGTTACTCTAAAAACAAAAGCGCACAAAGCAAACTAAATTGAGTGCCTATTCAACCTCAGATGATCTCGCCACTGCATAGCGTTAGAGCTAACGGCACTGGCTACGAGATATAATTTAAACAATCTTGCACAAGCTCGTTCAAATGCGCGTTTAAACATGAACCCCCCCCAGAAAAACTTTGGGCATCACTACCTCCAGATAAATGTCAAGAAAGCCTTGAAAACGCATCACAACACGCTTGCATGCAAGGTCGCTTGCCCAAATAAAGCAGCGCCTCACGGACAACTTATATCCGGCCCCGGAACGGTAATGTCACGCATAATTTACAGGCTACTAAAGTCCCCAGAGGCAGCCCGGTTGTTTACAACACATACAAACATGCACACCTCATCACACAATACAGTACCTTCGGCTTCTTTAACGGAAGGATCTGAGCTGTGCTGTCTGCTGTAAACTGCTCTAGCATGAAGAAGCGATGCTATGCATGCAATGAAACTCTGAACTGTTCACGTCTGTGCTTGTAAGGATTCCTAAGAAGGCGCCATACGTGTATGCCAAGAAAGCATCAATACAGCCTCAAAGCACGTCTTTCTTTGGTTCCAAGTATGGACGCAGCCGCGTAGCAAGCCGTACGAAACCTAGTTGCCAAACTGTTGGGTCTCGTACAGCGATTACGAAATCTTTTACTGAGAGCTGCTCACTAAATAGAAGTGAGTGTAGCAAGTTCTTACAAAAAAAAAAAAAACAATTGAGATTGCTTAGCTTTAACACTGTCCAGAAAATAAGGATTCAGTTTCAAAATGACACATGCGAACACAAACATATGGTGTTACAAAAAAAAAAAAGCTACAGTCACTTTCAGCACGAAAATAAAGGGTCATTCATCGTTTTTCACCTTCCTTCGACCAAGGGTGCATTCTATCACACGGCACTTCAACACACATGCACAGTATGAATGAAGCAATCTCTCTGCGTGCAGGTTCACACGGCTTCTCAAAATGTGACAGCCAGGCAGATAATGAAGGAAAAGTCTATCAGTAAACACTCTCTGAGAGTTCCCAAGGTCGCCACAGCAGCTGGCACTTTGTCTCCCGCACGCCCTTCTATCACTTCCGAATCGTTCAGAGGGTGGTGGAAGTGACGGGTGAAATGCCATGCACGAGCAATGTCGGGGGCAGTCCTGACGTGAGCAGCTCTAGCTCGTTGAGGTAGGCGAGGCGCTGGGCATCACCGTCGTTCGAAGGCGGAGGGGGTGGCGGTAGGTACAGGAAGAGCACGGCCGTCGTCTGGCTGTGCTGCTTGATCATGGCATTGACGGCGTGCAGGTAGTCCTCGCGCGGACCCTCGAGCAGACCCGCCACGTGGTCCCACAGCACCACGCTGATGGTCGCCTCTATGCGCAGCAGCTGCAGCATGCTTTCCCAGTGGCGGCGGTGGCGAGCAACCTGCTTCCGAGAGGACGAGGCAAACATGATGGCAGTTTCGTAGATACAAGCAGCCTGCCAGCATTGCTTGCCTGGCTCATTAGCTACCGCTGTTAGCACACTCACTTAGAGATAAAGACGGTTTGTGCACTGTACACCCTATAAGGCAGATGAAACCAGTGTCCCTAGACGCCCGAAATGAGCAAACAGGAGTGACTCGAGTGCCTCTTGAAGCTAAAGTCGACGAATCTCTGCCAACAAAAATGTCAAGAGGCCATTCGTGAAGAAAAAAAAACGTCTGCTCAAAAATTAACTGGTGTCTCGAACTGAAACATGCTTTGTCCCCACACTCAATGAAAAAATGTGCACAAATAATGTGGCCCAATGTACTTCAACATACATCAATTCTCAATGCGGATGACGACTCCTGTAGCTCGATTGGTAAAGCATTGCGAGCACTATCCAAAGGTTGCAGGTTCGGTCCCTGCTGGCAGCACGCCTTTCTCGGCCTCTTTAGTTTCTCCACACATATGGTATGATGATTACAACAACAAAGTTAAAACAAAAATATTAATGTACTACCTTCTTTGACTTCATTATATGTTGGCTTTCATTAGGACTGTATGTATTAGGAAAACAACTATTAAGACATCCCCTTCTTTCGTACATGAATAGTGGTTGCAATACCAATGCACAATGATGGACTTGGCATCCTAGGTCTTCATTTCGAAGCATTACCAGGCAGCTGTGCTCTGTGTTGTCCACATCTCACTACTGTCAACAGTGCAACAGCCGAAATAGAATATGGAGCAATTTTCAGAGCAGCAAAATGTTACTTTTGGAGCACTAAGATCCAAATTTGGAGCAGGTTACGGTGAAAAAAGCATTAATTTTTTATTATGAAAGACCTAATTTGGAACAGCATTAAAAAGAGGCTTAGATTAAAAAATATATATGTACAGCACTGTTATTTCAATAAAAGTAGTACTTTGAATACACCACTCACCAAACAATGATAAAGTCCACATCGACATTTACCCTGCTTGTCAAATCCTTTGACAGACTCTTTAAGATTCAAATGTGTATCTGCCAAGCTGTCAACCTTCAGATTCGGAAAATTCCTAAAGCTGAGAAGTAGAGGCGGCAAAAAAAAAAAATAAAGATTGGCGCACAGTTTTGTTTGATTTTTTTAGGGCTGCAGAAATATAATACAGTACTCCAAATGATCGTCAGTAACGTTTTACAGCGAGAGCTGTCACGAGACCACAACAAGGGTCGGGTGCACCATCGTTATCCGCCGCGGCTGCCCCAACGCAGGCTTGATGTCGAGGAAGGAATCACGTTAGTATCAGTAATAAAGCATTTTAAAATTGCGAAGGAACAACCAGGTGGTGTCAAACAATGCAAATTCTGTAACGAGTTAGTGGTCGAATGCTCCAACCCAATACTAAGCTTCAGGCATATTTCTGTGCCGTCAGGCACAGTATAAGAAAATTGCACAAATTTCCTTGTTTGTGGGTAGTGGGTACCACACTTCACCAAAGAATGACAAAGGATGGCCCAATGAATACCTCCCCACTACACAAAAATGATAACAATTCATGGTGTGGGGTACCATGCAAGTGCGCTTGCAGCAGTTACCCAAAGAATGTTAAAAAAAAAAAAAAACTCTGAAAGGCCGCCTTGCCAGCTTTCGCTGTGACTGTGCTGCGCGTTGCACGCAGGCCTGGCATTTTTTTTTTGGACCTCAGCAATCATATTACCGTAATTACTTGAATCTAACGCGCACCTTTTTTCCGGTTAAGAGAGTTCATAAATCGCATGCGCGTTAGAATCGAGTACGAAAAAAAAATGGATATGGTCATTCTATTGCCATCGCCACTTACAAAACGGCCACCCCCTACGTGCATTGGCATGGCACGTCGGTCATTTCTGCCTATGTGTTTCCCATGTGCGGCACTTCATACGTGTGCTGAGGAGTTCGTCATCTTGTAGTACATTAGAATCGACGGCATGGTAGGGCCGACTCCAAAAACTCGACGAGTGCACCACAATGCTGCTTCTAAAAGAAAAGTCATCGCGTGTGCCGAAACGGACAGAAATCGGGCCGCATTGCGGTCATTCGGAGTTCCCGAAACGTGCATGCGGGACTGGCGGAAACAAAAGCAGAATATTGTCGACAGCAAAGATTCACGCAAAGGCTTCAGTGGACCACAGCAGGGTCGGTTTCCACAAATTGAAGAGCTGCTCGGCGAGTTTGTGATTAAGCAGTGAGCGGCACAGCGGCCCGTGACGACAGAACTGCTCCAAGTGCAGGCTATGCAGTTAGCCTTAGAAAAAGAGCTAATGCAGAGCCAGTTTGAAGCGAGCAGGTGCTGGCTAACTAACTTTATAAAGAGGAAAGGCTTTTCCCTCCGAAGGCGAACGGGCATATGCTGGAAGTTGCCGGAGGAGTAAGAAGAAAAGCTTCAGAGTCTTCAGAGGTTCCTCCTAAACTTGCGGCACAACAACGGCTACCTGCTTGGGCAAATCGGGAATGCCGATCAGACGCCTCTTTACTTCGACATGCCTGGCGCACCACAACCGTCGAGGAGAAGGGGGCGAAGCAAGTTCGTGTACTGACATCGGGCCACTGCACAGCATGCATACGCGTGTGGTGGCCATTCGAAACCAGTGGAACGAGACTCTACACGCTGGGCCTGTGCGATACTGTTGGCGAAATCATTTTGTCTCAGTTAACAGCAAGTAACAGCTCACCAACAAGGAAGCAGGCACAAGAAAACACTTGCTAGATGCCCTGGCTACGACAAGTGTGGTGTCGATGTTTTTACAACATTTATTCCCGCACTGTACAGACAACATGATCAGCAGTGTACCTGCTTTATGTGGTTGCATTATGCCCCTCATGCGGCTGACGCGGCGCCCAGTCATCGTGTTTGTGTTCCACACGCACACTGCCGTCAGCGTTGTGCAACAGCGTTGCTTAAGCACGAAGCAAGTGACACATGAATGCGGTGATGCCGAGAGTACGCTGTTATGGGGGCGAGCACAGCAAGCGATGCAGAAAAAGTGTTTTATACACACATGAAAGTTTTTACTACAGTCGCCGACCGATTTTCCGGACTCCAAAAAATTCGGACTTGTTGGATATTCCAGACTTCATAAATGCACCGTCAGGGATCCCATAGAGCTAATGCATTGTTTCGACCGATTTTTCGGGCGAATTTTCCCCTGAAAGTTCGATTTTTCGGACTAAATCGCTCGTTTTGTGCCACGCCCCAAGCCAGTGTGAACGCCGCCATGTTGGATTTTCTGTCGGCTTGGCTAAGCTTGGTCTTCAAATGCCTTCCCTGCCTCCGAGATTGGAATGCGCACGCCATATTTTAAGTTTCGAAGGCCGTGTTTGCTTTCTAAAAGACGCGGTGATGAATGCTGTTTTTTCGTCTTCGGTCAGCACAATCGTCATCACATCGCACGTGAGGAGGCGAAAGAAGGATTCTTTTATTGTCGTTGCAGCTTTTTGCAGTCGCCAACCTGCACGTGTAGTGTCGCGTAGCGTCGAGACGTTGTGTGCTTCGCAGCGGCTATCTGCGGCATCGAATTTTGTGTTCTCGGTGCCATGGCTCCGCCATCTGTGCCATCGCGGGAGCCAGGTGGTGTGAAGAAGCGTGGGAAGTATACGACCCTGACGATGGAGAAGAAAGCTGCCATAATCAAGCTAATAGAGAATGGAATAGAGAGTGGACGAAACCTGCCTGATGCAATAAACTTCAGATTTTTGGCGAAAACGAATTTTTCGGACTGTTCGATTTTTCGTACTTTTTTTCGGTCCCCGCCAGGTCCGAAAAATCGGTCGGCGACTGTAAACACATATCAAACACGAAACTACATATGTGCACATAATGTCCTCATGCGTCTTGCAGGGCACAAATGTTTCCCCCGTTGTCACAAGCAGGAACACTGCATAACCGTCACTGACCCGCATGGGGTTCGTCGTGGTTCTGTTTTGTAATGGTGTTCGAAAGCAATTTCGCTGAGCACTTCAAGTACTTCATTCGTGTCGTTCACCGCATGGCACATGAATATATGCGCTCGTTCTACACACTGTGGAGGCCCAGTGGCTAACGGATATTTTAAACCTTCCTAGGGGTACAATAACCGCCGAGAGAACCCTGCGTAGCTAACAACGCGGCACAAAGCATGAATATTGTCCGCAATGGCATGGCTCAGTACGAGACTTATGGAGCCACACATGCCGCCTCCACTAACTGCTAAACCAGCTACACTGCACAACACATAACGATAGCAATTCCTTCATTGTGCCCAGTAAATATGGCCCACAATGTCTATTCCCCCCCCCCCCCCCCCCCACTTTTCAAGCAGCACACAGGCTGGGCACGCCCTCTATTCTCATTCCTTCCTTTAGGGCACGCCTGGATCCCTAAATTGATTAATGACAGCAAACTACAGGCGGCCAACGAGGCCTCTATTTCTTGCTGAAATTAGCGCAACTGAGAAAATTTTGAGGCTGGTCGAAGATTTTGGCGCAGCCTGACGTAATTTCATAAAATTTAATGATTTTGGCGCAGCTCAGTGCAAAAATGAGAATTGTATCGAATTGGCACAATCGGTGCAGCTGTTAGCTCCTGTGATGTGAATAAGAACAAAAGCACGTCAAATCGGTTCTGCAAAAGCTCAGCAGGGTGCAGGCAGGAGAGGGAAAAAACACTTCTGGTGTTTAGTGTGCTAAAACCACATTATAATTATGAGGCATGCCATAGTGGGAGACTGGACCATTTAGGACCAGCTGGAGTCCTCTAGTGGGCATCCAAGAACAATACACTCTTGGCAAATGGAAAACTCAAACTGAATTGCTGCTTAAATGTAACAGCTGCCTCTTATGCTTAATGCTGTAGGAATTCTGCTTCGTCTCTCAATAAAAGAAACTTCGGTTAAATGGAGCTTATCTTTAAGGTTTCTTCATGTGCTGTTTGACAAAACTCTACTATAAACTGATCTTTTTGCATGTCGCCAAAAACTAAATGCGGCTGACTGGCTGGGAATCTCTCCCTCGAGCTGAGCAGCGCGACACCGCACCTGCTAAGCCACCATGTAAGAGGTCAAGGAAGGCAAGCAGAAGGTGTAAAAGCAAGAGCCATGGACACACCTCCTCGCCGCCGTCGCCTCCTGCGCCGCAGGGCCCAATGCACATGAATATGCGCAGCGTAGTGGCATGCTTCCATCCGGGCACCATGTGCAGGATGCACGCCAACTGCATGGTGAAGAGCCAGCAGTTGTCGATGACGCCGGGGCTGTCACCTGGGTTCAGGAAGTTCAGGGGCCAGACGTCAATGTAGAGGCGCGTGCGAGATCGCACCACGGATGCCTTGTCCAGATGCTGGAAGTGGCGTGCCAGGCACACATTCTTCTGCATCCAGAACATGCAGTCGTACACCATGGCCACATACTCTGCCGGACCTAACGGCCGATCCCGGCTGGACGCGTCCCGCAGGCCCAGGAACTCCTCCTCACGCACCTGAAGAATAAAGGCTAGTTCGCACTTGCAACATGCACCGGTCACGTGACCATTTGCAACTGGTAACCGAGAAGCGACTCAAGGCAACCAGCGTTCACACCTGCTTGTGACTTGTATCTGCTGTCGCGAAAAATTCCTGTCTGCTCGCATTGTCCTCACCCCCTATAGACTTATTCCATGTTTGCAAACAGCGGTAGGAGCTATTGACAGAAGCACTTGTAGCGACACAGGCCCAAGCACCTCAGTATGTTGACGGCGCCTACCACTGTTCACAAACACGGAAAAGGGGAAAAGGCCTATAGTAAGCCGACCTCCTCTTCCTGCGCATGTGACTGATTCAGAGGTTTGCGACTTCCGTCTCACGACTGTAAGATAAAGCAGTGAGCGACTGCACCAAAGCAGTCACTTTGTGACCAAAGCGGCCATTTGCGGCAACTTACGACCAGTGGCTTTTCGACTCGCTTGTTCGTGCGGTTGGCGCTAATCACAGGTGTGAAAAAGCTTCAAAGAAACAGATGAAGCCAGCAATAGCTGCAATGGCACCACTCGGGCACATTCCTCAGCTGGGTGGAATCGCATAACACAGTGTAATGGCAGGACTACTCTCCGCTTACTTCATTTTAGCCATGTTCATTACAGTCAAAATCCGCATATAAGGAATTGTTGTGTACATCGAACAGGTGTGAAATGCCCTTGAATATACTTTTTTACATATAAAATATTTTATACATTGAATTACCTGTAAAATGTAGAATGCTTTTGTGACACAGTTCAGTTTCAATATATAAGGATTTTCAGTGGACTGACACTCAGATTGCTGGCTGCCCGATTTTGACATCCCTAGGTTGGTTTGCTGCAAGTTGAGTACACAAAAGAATAAGCCAGACTAGTACAGGCAAGCAGTGCTTTTGTGTTTATTTATATCGACACAGTGAAACGCTAGACCAACTAGCAAACGGCAAGCCCAGGTTGCGACAGCCCAATGTCACACTTTAGCACTGAGAATTAAGAGTGCCGAACTCTATGACTTGAAGTGATTCTTAAGGTTTGAGGTCCCAAAACCGCAATACAATTCTGAGGGAAGCTACAATAGAAGGCACCAGAAATTTCGACCACATGTGGGTTTGTCATTGTTCACCTAAATCTAAGCAGATGGGCCCCTAGCATTCTGCCAACATCGAAATGTGACTGCCGTAATTTGATCCCACACCCTTCGTGTCAGCAGTCAAACACCATAAACACTTAATTATTCCGGCAGGTGAACCCTAGGACTTATCAATCAGAAACCCCCATCTTCAGAGCTGCCCCAATGTTCTGCCATTATGGCCACCACTAAGTCGTACTTCTTTTTTAGAAGGTTGAACCACCAATTTTAGAAGGCTGAACCAATATTTTAGAAGGTTGAACCACCAGTTTCTTTCATCCGTTGTCACCTTTCTGCTTGCCTGTTCGTCACAGTCCCCACGACCGCGATCGTTCTCGGACCTTTGTCGGTGTGCACCAACCTTGGCCGTTCTCAGGTCCTTGAACGAGCTATTCTGGTCGAAAAAGTCCGTCGGGTGGCTGTCGTCGAAGAAGCCAAACAAGATAGTGTTGGGCTTCATGGCTCCCAGGCCGGATACCCGGGCCAGGTGGTGCAGCCCCTCTTGCACAGACTGTGCCATGGTCACCTCCACAAATGCCTTAACCTGCACACACAAATGCTCGCTCGTCAGCAGGTCTCGTCGCTTCTCGTGGACACAGAAAGAAATGATGACTACCCCAAATGTGGCATTGCTTCTAAACAAAAGTTCTATTCCGAAACACGACAAAACAGACCCTCGGAACTTGTATTCCTAGAGTAGCTGAAGTACAGCGTAGATGGATGTGCATACTATTATAAGGGTGGCTGTGACAACAGTGACATGAATATGCTTTTGCTGCTGTGTGTTGCTCACCAAAAGGTTTTATAGGTTTAGCACTTCTTTTCACTCACTCACAAGTATGCAGTTTCCTTTAATGTGCTCACCCGTAAAGTTGGCTTTCGCTATGGAATTACGTGCCTGTTTCTCTGCCGCAAGTTAGTCTAGCAAAGAGTGCTCCAAATCAAGATGTTAACTGGATCAAAAGATGCCTTTCTCCCCCACATTTTCACTTAATGCCACTTTATGCACTAAGTATTCTTGTATGTTTGTGAACTAGATGGCCCTTTATTTCAACGCACTACTTTTTCACTATTGTATAGGGTTCTTTTATTTAATCTAGCTTTTACTAATGAAGCAAGCATCTGTATAAAACACACATGGTTTATTTGTCACTATAAGATCACCCAGAAAAATTTAGACAATTTTTTTTCTTAAACAGGTTCATTTGGTGAGTTAATTTCAGCAACGAAAAAATACACATACCTAGGACTCATTTCACCTAAAAAATCTACCCTCAAAGAGGTAGGTATGTACGTCTGCTAAAGACGTAATTTACTTCATAACATATTAGCTATGCAATAACTAGCACCTTAAGCATACAGTGGAAATTTAACGGCTCATTGTTTTTTGTTAGACGCAATATTAACGCAAGTTCTCATTATTATTCTTCAACATTAAAATTCTCGACATTCTGTTAGTTTTCTATTCTTCAACATAAAGTCGATTCTGTCGAAACGTCCAACTTCCGCAATGCATCCCTCTAAAAGTCTAGACTGGCTTCTACAACCACACAGCACAAGCTTTCGCTGACAACTCATGCGAGGCTACACACCTTGAGCTTGTCAAGCAGGGCGAGCCAGTAGGGGTACTCCTCCAGGACAGGGTCGGCTTTGAAGTCCTTGGGCGAGCCGACCTTGACGTGACCGAGCACATACAGGCCGCTTTTCTTGAGGTCATTGGCGAACAGGATGAGCGGCAGTGAGGAGCGCGGGTTGGCAACCAGCAGCAGGAACTGTGGCCGCCAGTACTTGACGTGGTCCTTGCGGCTGTCCAGCAAGAGAAGGTACTTGCGTACCTGCATGTCAGACGAAGGAAGCAAAACCGCTCAACACACACTGTGCACACCTATCACGATGCTCTACCAATGCGACACCCAACTGCCACAGAAAAAAAATGTTTCTAAAAGAGGCAGCGTGTACCGAAAATAAAGAGGCATTGCTTCAGCCGATAATCATCAGAATTGCACATGCGGAGCCCAGAATACGTGACACAAAAAAAAAGAAGACGGAAGTGTGCCGATGTTGTCGATCACCCTCTTTTTGAGTTAAAAGACATCCATTTTCATGCAATGGTTATCTCGCAGTACTTTGAGGTGCCACTGCACACTAGCTTGTCATTTACAGTTGTAGCCTTTTTATTTAAGGGATAAATCCTGTGCTAGACGCACTTATGCTCACCGAAGTTCAATGCCTGCTGTTCTACAACCGTGATCCAAGAAACTATGCTGTGTACATTACATCTAGTATGTGCATGACCCATACAACATGACCGCACGTGGCGCTCAGATGTGGGTGCAGGTTAAAGAGCCCCAGGTGGTCAAAATCTCCTGAGCCCTCCACTACGGTGTCTCTCATAATCATGTGGTGGTTTTGAGACGGTAAGCTCCACATATCAATCAATCAACCACTCGTGTACAGGTCTCAACAAATAATAGCGAATACCCTGAGCCCACGGCTTGCTGTGGGACACCAAGCTTTTGCGGTATGTGATACGGTGAAATCGGCAGCCTTCGTGACTGCACCAAATGCCCCAGATATCAACCAGTACTCAGTGGTGAAACGAAAACCACCAGCCACTATGCGTATCAGGTAAAATACCTTTCAACTGCAAGACCAGCCACGACAGTGTAGAGCGCTCGAGCAGCCGGTTTTCGCACTGTGGGCCAAGACCTTGAGGGAGTTTCGGGCTCCGAAGTGGTGTATCAGGAGCATGCACGGCCTAGTTGGCAGGCTGACCATGTCAGAGCCTCATAATACTCTATGGTTTCCTCCCACAGAGCAAAAACCGTCTGTTCGCGTGCTCTACACAGACATGGCCACGGCTGCACACACAAGCACACTCACAAACATATACATAGGTACATGCACATAGAAGCAAGCGCAGATGCATGCATAGATGCACACATAAATATACAGACGTAAAGGTAAACCAAGGTGCCATCGCTCACCTGGTGAAAGATCAGAGCTTGACTAATGGAGCCCCAGCGAACGGGAGGTGAGCGAAGGTGCAGTACGATGACCAGCACTAGGCAGATGATGATGGCAATGGCTGCATACAAAGGACTCACCACGAACATCATCGTGCCACAACCCAACAGGCCCAGCAACGAACTATGCCACGAGAAGTACTTGAACGATGGCCTGAAAGACGGTTCAAATGAGCACAGGCCTGTTAATTATATCTGGCTGAGAAGGAGCGCATAAGACAAGAGACTAAACTATAAAACTATAAAACACGCCATACAAATTATCAGTGCCGTGCTACGGCATAAGTGAGTAAAATAAACTACCAAGATCAGCAGTGAGCAGAGGTTAACCAATCCCAATTTTTAAATGCACTTCAGGTAGCTGTTAACATAATTTAGTGCCGCAAGATGCTGTTCTGAGCTAGTGCCCTTTTTCTTTGTATGAGGATTGCACACTGCTACTGCTATCTCTTAATTAACCTTTACATTTTGTATTGCCAGTGTTTGTGTTAGTAACGGCACCTTTTAGCATCACACTACATTGATCTTTACTTTTTTTTTCTTTCTACAATGCTTTGTTTCCAATTTGAGTGTTCTTGCCACTTTTCTACATAATTAGCTGTGTGTACTTTGACGGTATTCTAAATAGACGAAAGTACAAATGACAGAAGTCACCATTCCGAAGGCATTTATTACACTAAAGCAAAACCTCACGTCTTGAATCAAACTTGTGTTAATTTAAAATTCCAAAGATTTTTCTCTTCTAATAATCAATGTACAATGGAGAAAGTAACAAGAATAGCACTTGTTCTCACTTAAACGATTAGCTTAAAAGTGACTCTTACCATGCAAAAAATATTTTTTTACTGAAACATTGTTTACCAACAATTACCACACTTTTTTATGCATTCCTTGGTGCAAATCTTTATTGCTTATCGCAGAAGTGAGGTTGAACAGCACAACACAATAAAATGGAAATTATCAACAAGAAATTAAAACTGCATCGCAAAACTAAGGATGAGTGCAACTTTATTACCTATGATCGTTTTTTTTTTACCGATTTGTGGAACATTTATGAAACATATCAACATTCCACCGAAATCATCATATACGTTTCGAATAGTTTCTTCTCAGCATCTACAAATAAGAGAGGAAGCTACATAATATGTGTGAGAGGGAGAGAGAGAGAAGTAAACATTTATTTTGAAACAGTGCCCCGAGCGATGCCCGGTGTCACCCTGAGGTGGGAGGGCTGACATAATATGTGAAACTCGTGCATTTTATAATTATTAATCATATCTTCAAGTTGTTCAATAAAACGACTGATTTCTGTTGAGGCTTCCACATTCAAAGATTTAATTTGCACCACATACAACAACTGGGCTCACTTCAATCATATCACTCGACTTTCAGATGCATTTCAGCATGATATTCGTGTGCTTCATTTACCTGATAACTCCGTGGGCGCACTAGAAAACTGCTAAAACCATAGCCAAAGCTAGTGAAGGCCCTAGATACACAACTTCCAGCAGACGACAAATTACACATTATTTTGAAACATACTACTATACCTCATTCAAGCAATAAATAAAGCAATATACTGTGGAACCCCGATTATACGACTTTCAGGAGACCACGCAAAACCGTCGTATAATCCGGGCATCGTATAATCTAAAAACTAAGAATATAGCATTTACACCCAGCCTTTCTCTAAAAAAAATGGGTATAGACAGCCTGAATAAGCCCACGGCACGACCTTGTGCCTCTGCTAGAAAGGCAGATTAAATTATTCTTGCCAGCGACAGCTAATGGCATCGTAACTTAGTTGAAAGAGGTGCGAGCGAATCTCTATTCTCATGTTTAAAAAGAACTGAATCACACGCGCATCTTTCTACCGATAAATAGAGTCCGAAAATTGCCTGCGCGTGAAAACGAAACTGAAACCAAGTTGCCAATAGCCTCCCATCAGAAGATTCGGATGCAGTGTCTTCGCTATCACATAATGGCGACCAACCACGAGTGTGCGTAGAATGCCTTCGTGTGGGACAGAGCTACACACGTTGTAATTTGTGGCCTTGTAAAGTGCAACTAGTGATGCCCTGCTGTTGGTATGAACGTCGACATCTTGTGAAATCTATATTTCATAGTGAAAACAGCTGTGTTGCGCCCTTATGCGTCCACAAGCCTGTGACTGCGTGTGTGACAAAAGCAGATCAGCTGTATGTCGACCAGAAAATGTTCCCATGGACCGAAAACGTGAAAATATCAGTTTTCTGGCCGGCTGGAGCTACTTTGTGTGGATAAAGCTCTACTGATAACGAGCCGAGATACTTGCACACGTGATTGCGGCGTGTGTAGAAGCACATGAACTTCCAGGAGAATGAATTTTTGATTCTAAGAAGACATCTGTCTTGCTCTCTACTTCCTTAATCGTCAACCTAGGGGAACGCAAGTTTACATTTTGCACTCGTGAATATTTGGTCCACGCTTGATTCGAGTAAAGGCATTCTTTTTTCTTTTTTGGACGAAATCTGAATGTCATCGTAAGATGCAGGGTCGGCGTAAAACTGCATTATGTAACCAAGGTTTTTAATACCGTATTTACTAGCGTAATCCTCGCACTCGCATAATTCTCGCACCCCCCACATCGCCCCAAAAAATACGATTTTTTTTCTTCGAGTAATTATCGCACCCTCGAAAACTGCCGCAATAAAAACGCCTGCTCCTTCCAGCCATTGATGATCATAGCGCGCGCCATCTGGCGCCATCTCTTAAGCATCAAGCGTACTATTACACGGAGATTCAATCCAAGCCAAGCCAAGCCGAAGTGGCCAGTGCGCGTTGCGGCGTGTTTTGTGTGTTGTGTCGGTAATCTTGGCACGTTATGGGGTGATACTGCAGTTACACGGTTGCTTCAAGTTGCAAGTGATAGATCATGCGTTAGCAACGGCAACAGGGCCGCCGGTAGGCCCTTCGGAGCCTACGAGTTTCGTGTTCCCTACTGGTGACGGCAGCTGAAAGCCACCAAGACGCGTTGGGCCTGCCGTGTGCCTAAAACTGGGATTGGTGGTAAACTTTATTTCTTCAGATGGGAACTGCGGACAATTCTGTTAAATAGCCATCAGCCCAATACTGACGTCCTACGCTTATTTTGAAGGCTCCTTTTGAGCGCCGATCGCTACCGCTACGCCCGCAACGCCCGCAACGCCCACAAGCTTCGCGTATGGTATTCTAATTCTCGACTATTTGCTTCCACTTTTTGTGTCTCAAGTAAATCTTGCCTTGTGTTGAACATCTGCTTTTATTGTTGAGGTAAGTTCTAATTAGTACTTCTTAAAGCTTGCTGTAAGGTGCTTTTGTGAATATTCCGATTTGCGGCCACTTCGTTGTCTTTTTCGCTCTCAGAGTTTTCATAGAAAGTTTTCCCCGCGTAATTCTCGCACCCCCCATCTTTGCATCGGTTTTCTGAGAAAAAAAGTGCGAGGATTATGCGAGTAAATACGGTACATTATTCCTATGGGGACTTTGCCTGTATCTAACCGAGTCATCGTAAAATGTGGATCATCGCGAAACTGGGGACGTATAATCGAAGTTCCACTGTAGCCACAACGAGTCATTACAGGCATAACATATAGACTGCCAAAAAACATACAACCAATAAAAAACTTGACACTAACGTCAGGCTTTCACAAATAGACACTCACAAAAGAGAGGTTCCATCTTTGATTTCAACCACACATTTTATACCACAAATTAGCACTGTTAGCTTTGTCATCGTCGTCATCATCGTCATCATCATCAGCCTGACTATGCCCATTGCAGGTCAAAAGCCTCTCTCAAGCTTTGTACTCATTGCCAGATGTGAAAGAAGGCATATGACCAACCGAAAGTTTGGTGCCGATGCCAGGTCAAGGGCGAGGCAGGCCAAATTGGTCGACAGGTACGACAGCAAGAAGAAGACCGACGTCACCTGGGCAATGGTGTTGAGGCTGCCAATGAACAGGATCAGCTGGGGAGCGAAGGCACACATTTCAATAAGGGAAATAAACTGCTCTTGTTATATCATACAAGCGTGCAACAATTCTAATTTGTGACATACTTAACCCTTTCGGCCCTGGCGGTGTGAAATGACACCACCGCACAAATTTTCCCCTAGTATCTCGGAAACGTAACCAATACTGCTCATTTTTGGGGGCATAGTTCTTCAATGAGCCCCACTGCAATGGACACCAATATTGTGGCACGTCTGTGGAGGTAGCAGCCACAAAGAAGAAGAAGCGTGAGTGAGGTCTTCCGTGAAGCCGAGGCGCGTAAGTTGAGGCGGGTAAGCGCCATTTTCGGGACGCCGTACCGAAGCTGTTTCAGTGAGTTTCAGGCTAAAAAGTAAAAGGTTGGTTTCTATTTAGTGTGGACCATCGATTGGCAGAAAAAAATAGGCCACTTATTTCAATTTCCAATCGCAGGACCCTAATTATCTAATTTGATGCCATGCTAATTAATCCGAAACTGCTTGTACCAGTGGCTCAATTTTTTGTTTGTGGTCTTCTGAGGTCCTAACTACGAGAAAAATGCGCACAAAAAGTGCATCTGACCAAAATAAAAAATCCAGGGCTGAAAGGGTTAAATGTCCACTTCATCATATGCCAACCCTTATGTTAAACCATTCAATGGTTTCCAACTATATATATATATATATTGTAATGAATTAATGAATCTGAGTAACGGACGCTCTGCTGGCAACGAAGAAGACGATGATGATCGGTGGCTGCAGCAGTAGCTCGCGCACGCCGTTCGCCATTAGCCAGACCTGCCTGTTAAAGCTCATTTTGCCAAGCTGCGTCTGAACCTTTCTCGACGTACAACACCTCTATTTTAAGTGGTGGAGGAGCCGGGGTTCCCATCAACCTGGAACTTCGCAATCGGACGCTACCCTCACCGTTCACCATGACTGCTCCTGGCCCTTCTCAAGCTGCCTCACCAACGACAGTCTACTGTACTGGCGCGCCTCGGCAACGTGACCCACCAAGCAACGATGAACAAGACGTCGAGGACTGGCTCGTCGAGTACGAAATCGTAAGCGCTTCCAACAAGTGGAACGCCTGCGACCAGCTCACAAACGTGCGCTTTTACCTAGCTGATGTGGCCAGCCTCTGGTTCAAGAACCACCAAGGCGAAATTACCAACTGGTCCGCCTTCAAGACCACCATCTCCGCGGTCTTCGGCCGTCCCGCCGTGCGCCGGCTTCGCGCGGAACAGCGTCTCCGTAGTCGAGTCCAGCGCAGGGACGAGACCTTTACGAGTTACATTGAAGATGTCTTGTCCCTTTGCAAGCGCGTCGATGAATCTCTAACCGAACGCGACAAAATCAAGCACATCATCAAAGGAGTTGACGACGACACCTTCCAGATGCTCGTCGCTCGGAATCCACAGACCGTCACCGATGTTGTCCACCTCTGTCAGGAGTACGACGAGTTGCGTAAGCAGCGTGTCTCGACGCGCAGGGCCGCAGAAGATACGGCTGAAGTTTCCGCCCTCGTACACGACGTCGCTGCTGATCAGACCGTCTTACTCCCCCAAATCAAACAATTCATTCGTGAGGAAGTTGCGCGTCAGCTTTCTCTTGTGGCCGAAGCATCCGCGCCAGTGACCTCGTTAGACCCACGTCTACGCCAGGTCATTGAGACACAGGTCGCGCAAGCACTGCCTCCATCGCCACCTGTCCCTACGCCGCTGACCTACGCTGCCGTCGTTGCTAGACCCCCAGCCCCACCTGTCTCTGGCGCATACCGGGGCACCGGGTCCTCCTACCCTACGACGCTGCCTACATACACGGCACCCCATCCCGTTTCGCCCCCTGCACCTTCTGTCGTTAACCCATGGCGCACCTTGGATAATCGACCCATCTGTTTCGCATGCGGTTTCGTGGGACATATAGCACGCTACTGTCGCCGTCGCAACTTCCAGCCTCCAGACCATGGGAATTCTGCAAATTACCAGGCTGCCCAGAATCCCCGGCGACCATCTTCTCCTATCACCGACTCATTGTCCCCACGACGCCCCGTCGATTCTCGCCGGTCATTACCACCCCGTCGCCGATCTGTCTCCCCGATGCTTCGGCGCACGAGCCCCGCTCGAGAGGAAAACTGACAGCCGCAGTTCCGGAGGCAAGAACTGCGTCGTCGTCGAACTTTCTAAGACCTCCTCTTTGTCCGTCCAACGAAATTGATGTGCTAGTAGAAGGTGTTGCTGTACGTGCACTTGTCGACACAGGCGCCGTCGTTTCTGTAATTAGTGAAAAACTGTGTCGCGATTTGAGAAAAGTTACAACGCCGCTTACGAATCTTGCTCTGCGTACAGCCACCTCCCATTTCATCGCGCCGACAGCTCAGTGCACAGCACGCGTTCTTATTCAAGATGTTTGGTACGCCGCCAACTTTGTTGTTCTCCCACGTTCATCTTACGACGTGATACTAGGATGGGATTTCCTTTCTACCCATCAGGCTCTCGTCGACTGCGCTCGTGCTGAACTCACGTTGACGAATCCGTGCCTTGATATCGACCACCACAGTCCCTCGAAAGTGTTTGCCGCAGCTGACGTCCGCATCGCGCCGTTGTCCGCCGTCCTAGTGCCTGTGTTTTCCCCTGCTGCCACTAACTCGACGCTCCTGTTCCAACCAACTATAGCTAGTGTGCAACACCGGACCATCGTCCTCCCGTTTGCCGTCATCAACTTTTCCAATGGTTCGGCGGTACTTTATGCGTGCAACGTTTCTGCTTGCCCGTACATCCTGCTACGCGGTGAGTGTCTGGGAAGCCTCGAGACCTTAAATTGTATTTTCGAAGAACCGATCTATCCAGACAAGCCATTTCTACCGACTTGTGCCATTACACCCGCAACTGACGCTAATGAACCTATGGATGTATTGCGCAAGTCCATCGATTCTAACCTCACGCCTGGGCAGCAGAAACAGCTGATCAAGCTCCTACAGCGTTTTCGAGCCTCGTTTGACCACAATCAGCCTTCCTTAGGTCGAGCGTCATCTGTTGTACACCGTATAGATACCGGTCAAGAGACGCCATTACGGCAGCGTCCATATCGTGTGTCAACTACCGAACGCCGTGCCATCAATGAACAGGTTGACGACATGCTGACACGTGGCATAATCGAACCGTCAAGCAGTCCCTGGGCCTCTCCAGTTGTGTTGGTGAAGAAGAAGGACGGATCCATCAGGTTTTGCGTGGACTACCGGCGTCTCAACCGAATCACGCGCAAGGATGTCTATCCGCTGCCACGCATTGACGATGCCTTGGACTGCCTACAGGGAGCCGAATTTTTCTCTTCTTTAGATCTCCGCTCTGGATACTGGCAGGTACCCATGGCAGAGGCCGATCGTGAAAAAACTGCTTTCATAACACCCGACGGGCTTTACGAATTCACAGTGATGCCCTTCGGCCTCTGCAACGCGCCAGCTACTTTCGAGCGGATGATGGACTCTATCCTTCGAGGCCTCAAATGGAACGTTTGCCTTTGTTATTTAGATGATATTGTCGTCTTTTCAACTGATTTTGAAACCCATTTAACCCGCCTCGAGAAAGTCCTCGCGTGTATTTCTGCCGCGGGGCTGCAACTGAATCTGAAGAAGTGCAATTTCACCGCTCGAAAGCTTACGATCCTTGGCCACGTGGTTTCAAAAGACGGCATTCTTCCTGACCCTGCCAAACTTACAGCCGTTTCAGCGTTTCCCAAACCGACCACCATGAAAGAGCTCCGAAGCTTCATAGGCCTTTGCTCTTACTTCCGGCGCTTCGTCCACAATTTCGCGACGATCATCGCTCCTTTGACCAAGCTCCTCGCCGGCTCCAGAGACCTTTCAGCCTGGTCTGCCACCTGTGACGACTCTTTCAATGAACTGCGCCGCCTCCTCACGTCGCCGCCTATTCTGCGACACTACGACCCATCGGCACCCACAGAGATCCACACCGACGCTAGTGGTGTCGGGCTAGGCGCTATTCTTGCACAGAAGAAAGACGGCTTCCAAGAGTACGTGGTTGCCTACGCAAGCCGAACTCTTAGCAAAGCCGAAAGCAACTATTCTGTCACCGAAAAGGAATGCCTCGCCATTATTTGGGCGATAGAAAAATTTCGACCTTACGTGTACGGGCGCCCTTTTGACGTCGTGACTGACCACCACGCCCTCTGCTGGTTGTCGTCATTGAAGGATCCAAGTGGTCGCCTCGCCCGATGGGCATTACGCCTCCAAGAATATAATATTCGCGTGGTCTATCGCTCCGGCCGGAAACATTCGGACGCAGATGCCCTATCCTGTTCGCCTCTACCCCCTGACCCGGATTGCTGCGAAAGTATAACCTGTGATGCCACTGCCGTCACCATCGCCGACATGCCATCTGAGCAACGCAAGGACCCTTGGGTTGCTTCGATTCTAGACATCCTGGCTGGGCGGACGGCTTCCCCCCCTTCTCGCACGTTGCGTCGGCAAGTGGAGCACTTCGCCACTCGCGACGACGTGCTGTACCGACGCAACTACGCACCCGGTGGACGTCAGTGGCTACTCGTGATTCCACGTCATCTGCGATCCGAAATTTGTTCCACGTTTCATGACGACCCCCAATGTGGCCACGCAGGTTTCCTGAAGACTTATTCTCGCATACGTCTCCGATATTACTGGCGTGGCATGTACCGTTTTATACGACAATACGTTCGGGCCTGCTCGACGTGCCAGAGACGAAAAACTCCCCCTTGTCACGCCAGCGGTACCTTGCTACCCTTACCATGCCCATCTCGACCATTCGACAGCGTCGGCATCGATATCTATGGTCCCCTTCCCAACACTGCTGACGGTAACCGCTGGATCATAGTTGCCGTCGACCATCTCACGCGGTATGCCGAAACTTCATCCCTTCCCTCATCTACAGCAAAAGACGTTGCGACTTTCGTTCTTCACAACATCGTATTACGTCATGGAGCACCTCGGGAGTTACTGAGCAATCGTGGTCGCGTATTCTTGTCAGACGTCATCACAGCATTGCTGCGTGAGTGCCACGTCGTTCACCGCACTACAAGCGCCTATCATCCTCAGACCAATGGAATGACAGAGCGCTTCAACCGCACCCTTGGTGACATGCTGTCTATGTATATCTCGTCAGACCACTCCAATTGGGACCGAGTGCTCCCGTTTATCACGTTCGCTTATAATACCGCCATTCAAAGCACTACAGGGTTCTCTCCTTTTTTCCTCCTTTACGGACGCGAACCTTCTTGCACTATGGACACCATTCTTTCGTACAAACCTGACTCCTCAGAGTCCACGACTTTGTCTCAAGCCGCTACATACGCTGAGGAATGCCGCCAACTGGCAAGAGCATTCACAACCCAAGACCAAGGACGCCAAAAGCACCACCATGACGCATCAAATAACACCACTTCCTACGATCCAGATTCACTCGTCTGGCTGCATGTTCCCTCTGCTACACCTGGCCTTTCTACCAAGTTGGTCCCCAAGTATCACGGCCCATATCGTGTGCTACAAAAAACGTCACCGGTGAATTACCTCATCGAGCCACTGGAACCATCTTCTGACCAACGTCGTCGTGGCCAGGAAATTGTCCACGTCTCGAGACTTAAGCCCTGCTACGACCCTCCCGTGTTTACTTGTCCATAGGTCGCCAGGATGGCTCCTTATTTCGCGGGGAGTAATTGTAATGAATTAATGAATCTGAGTAACAGACGCTCTGCTGGCAACGAAGAAGACGATGATGATCGGTGGCTGCAGCAGTAGCTCGCGCACGCCGTTCGCCATTAGCCAGACCTGCCTGTTAAAGCTCATTTTGCCAAGCTGCGTCTGAACCTTTCTCGACGTACAACACCTCTATTTTAATATATATATATATATATATATATATATATATATATATATATATATATATATATATATATATATATATATATGAGATATAACAGACAATAATGCCAAGGAAAGTATAGGGGAAGTTATTAGGCCAATTGTAATTTAAATGAGAAGAAATAAAAGTGGGTGAAAAGATAACTTGCCATGGGCAGGATCCGCCCACGGCAAGTTATCTTTTCACCCACTTTTCTTTCTTAAATCTAAATCTGAGCCTAAATATGAGCACACGGGCCTACTACATTTCGGCCACCATCAGAAATGCAGCCGCCACAGCCGGGATTTGATTCAATGACCTGCGGATCAGCAGCCGAGTACCTTGGCCACTAGACCACCATGGCGGGGCAGGAGTCGGCAGCACGCTGGCATTGTTTGACTTATTAAAAGAGTGTTGCATTTGACATGACTCCCTCCAGCTACACCAGCTACTTATCGTGCAAGCACACATTTGCTGACCGTAAATACATATACAACTGTATTGTATTACAGCAGTATACACTAACTATGGACATCAAAAAATTGCTTATCAGCTACCGTTACAATTCAACAGGTTATATTCATCAGATGTTAACATAGCACATATCACCCTTTCTGAACTTCTCCAATATCTTATGAATGCTCCCAGCAATTAAGATTCATCTTCAAAGTTCGTAGCAAAAATTAGGAAAAATAATAAACAAAAACACAAGGGATGAAAATGCAGTCACCACTGCACGTAAATGATATGTTTAGCGTATTTGTGGTTTTACAAATGGCAACTTTTGATTTGGATTTCTATAAATGTTTATTGCACTGTGTGTGTGTGTGTACTATTGGTTTTGTCAGCGCAACCATCTGCCATCAATTTGAAAGTTTTATAAATCCTAATTTTGTTTATGTTATGTACATGTTGTGTACTTGTGTCAGCTGTGGTGTTCTGGTGCCACCACCGTCACTTCCTTACGTAAATAGGGGGATGAGAACTTAGTCAAGCAAATAGTCACTTTTATTCTCACCCCCTCTATGAACTGTGCATTGGTGGAAAATGAACCATCATCATTATTATTATAATGTAGGTTGTGAGGGTGCTGACGTCCCCCTGTAAAGTTGTTTGCGCCGCGTGGCGCACATGTCTCGCACAGAAGCCGTATTTTGGGGGTGACAACTATTAAGCGATAGGTGGCGTTGTGTTCGCGAGCGGTGATCACCACTATCATGGTTGGTAGAGTGGTAGCGCCGGCGGTGACCCCTGGTGGAAGGCAAGTCTTGATGGCGGGCGAGAGAGTTGAGCGAGTCTTCTGGCGTGCGGCTGTGGCACGGGCCCAGCAATGGGTCTGCTGTGGACGGCACCGCGGGCTGTCTGCGGTGGGTCCACGTGGTGAGTCAGGCATTAGCAACACCGCCTTGTTTGTAATGTTGTTGGAGTGTTTATTATTGTGTAAGGATGTCTAAGCGTGTTGATCATGATTGATGTTATAATAATCCGGCTGACAATATCGTCATTTCTAAAGGTAGTTAAATAAATGAGTGAGTTGTTTTGGTTTGTTCCGACCGTGTCTGCTGTGTGCCGTTCACTCCAAGAACGTGTCGCACTCCACTGCAAGACCCCACAAGGTATACCTGAACTGTATATTTGAAAATACATGAGGTTATGAAAAGGTTTAGAATTCTTACGTCGCATAATTTAATAACTTAATACATCGACATTCCTTGATTCAAGGTTAAAAAATATTAATCAACTATATAGTACAGTGGAACTTCGATTATACGTCCCCCAGTCCTGCGACGACCCACACTTTACGACGAATTGGCTTGGTCCCAGTAAAACCCCCATAGAACTAATGTATTGAAAACCTCAATTCAACGACGCAATTTTACGCCGGCCCCGCCTCGTACGACGCTTAGCTGGACTGTCTGAGAAAAAAAAAAAACCTACGATGACCCACGCAGGCTGCCACGCAAGCACACTGCGGCCGGATGAAAAAAAGTCTGTAAACCGAGGAACCGAGTTCGTTCCTCCCTAAGATTTAGCACACTATCTGGGCTGCCACCGCTATCACCACAGAGCCTCTTCAATTTTTCGACACGCTGTCGGCCATAGTTAGCCAGAGCCAACGTTGCCCAGAGCCAGCCGGAGCGCATTCATTTTGCTTAGTCGCATTGCACTGCGCACTTCCGTTGAGGCCTTTTTTTGTCTTGATTTCTGCCTTCTTTTGGGTGGTTTTGTAGTGACAGCTATGAGCAGGTAACAAGGCAGATAATTTAGAGCTCGCTTTCTAGTATGCGGTAACTTTCACTAGATTTCGCGTCGTTGTACCGGACGTGTTGAACGGCGATTGTTGAGCCTGTCTACGTTTGGGACAGCCGCGGGAACCGGAACTAGCTGCTGTCTAGCTACTAGAGGGCGGGGGAGTTTTAGCCCCTCGCGATTGGTCGAAGCTTGCGCAGAGGTACGCGCTTGCAAAAATCGAATGGGCCCACTGCCTTGTTGCCTTTCAGCCATTCCTTCACCTGTTTGCCTCATCAGTAGGTTGTGTGCCGCAACTGCTGCGTCTACGTGCAAAATTTTCAGTACTCAGAAATTGGTGTGCGAGGAAGCTTTCGAATTCTTGGTTGCGAGTGCTGCGCCTCGCAATGTCGCGGAACCGAAAACCGCTGACGCTTGGAGAAAAGCAGAGGCTAGTGCGTCCGTTCCGACGTACACGGACGTGTTGTGCTACGTCGACAACATTCGGCGGTTTGCTTGCCCACGCGACGAGATCGGCGACTTGCTGCCAGATGTCGCAGCTCTTGAAAGAAAGCTGATTCATCGTGTCTGGGCAAACTCGCAGAAAAAAATCACAGATTTTTTTAAAAGGTGAGAATAAAGATTTGTTCACACCTCCGATAAAATGCGTGGTTGTCATTTTTTCAAGTAATTTAATCTACCTTCATCGGAGCAGCGTAGATTTGTGCCGCGGACTTTCTTACGCATTATGTGACAACTGTTGTGGGGCAACAACAACCATCAGTGTCTATATTCTTGGTTTTTCGATTATACGACGCCCGGATTATACGACGATCTTGCGTGGTCCCCTGAAAGTCGTATAATCGAAGTTCCACTGTACATGTCATTTTCCGCACCCTCCACAAATGAAAACGAAAAAAAGGAAGCTGACCTGCACAAGAAACCATGAAGTGAAGACCGCTGCCAGTGGATTGCTCTTGTAGACAAGGATGCTAACTGGCCGCAGGACAACACCTGCAGTGGGTAAGAGACGTAGTATAGAGCTTATATTATAAATATATGATAGCTATATGTTTTATAATAACAAGACATATAAAGTATAATAATTGAGCAAGATACAAATCAACATTATTAATGGTACGTTATTTAATTAAAAACAGGCAAAGTTCGAATATAGGTTGACCACTATATATTGCACTCCCTTAAAATTAAAAAAAAAATCAAGTATTAGAACACAGGTTGCCAATATCTTTTAGGAAACCCATGACGTTTTAGATTCCCACTAGCTAACAGATGGCCATCGAGATCTGTATTCACTACTCCAAGATGGCACATATCACTTGTTTACTTATCAAAAGTGAAGTGTTCAAAACTTCTGTTTGTTGTTCAAAGGTATCACGTTGACGTGGGCTCATCGTCACGACAGGTGCTCCATTTCCCCAACGGTCTGATCGCATTGTTTTGCGGTTCTGTGTTTGTGAGTCGTCGTGCAAAAGTTCCGCATGTGTTTACTCATGTAGTGTCTCCACTGTTGGCAAAAATGGAATTGCGTACGCCTCGTGAATTTCGCCATTCTCATCTCCGCTGTTTTATCCATCGACGAAAAATTTTCCCAGCGTGCCAGCATGTGCAGCTGCAACGGCCGAGTCTGGACTGACACAACGATTTGCAAATGCTTCGGTATAGTTCAAATGCTATATTTTCATTTCATTTTGTGGTGTACAAATTTATTGCAAATACACATGTGTAATGCACCAGTGTAGCTGGCACTGTCTGAAAAATGGCAGGTCTGACAGTAGAAATCTTTTATTTTGGTACTTTTGCTAACTTCGGCCTCGATTAAAGGACAAGTTTCTTTGGTCACGAATACACGCCAATAGCCAATTATTATAGCCAACATTTCCGGAGAAAAAAATCAACCTATCTTCCAATAAATACAATATTTGACACTAAGTATCTGTGACACAAGGCCTTGTAAAGAGAACTGCAGTAGGATTCCAGCCGAGTGAGACCAAGAGAATTTGGCCAGACGTACCAAACAATTCGTCCTTGCTGAGCGCCTCCAGCACACGCGATGCACCGATCAGGTTGCTGAGGGATGCAGACAGGGTGGCAAAGAAGATTCCAATGGCCACAAAAGGTGGCCACAAATCTATGTACTGCATGTAGAGGACGTTGTTCTGCAGCAACAACCTGCGCGTGACAAAATTCGACAGAAAGATGAGTGCTAGCAATATTACCACTAAGTAAACGTTGCGTTTAGCATTAACCTATGAAATTGGTACACATTCATTTGTTGAAACAGCCGCCAAGGCTGTCCTGCTTTTCTTCTATTTCTGAGACGCAGCTACCAATAAACTACAATATGTAAAAAACCTTTATATTGCAGTGATGTCAAGGAAATGTGTGAATGTAAGAAGTTGACACATCTACATGAATCACATTTGTGTCAGACAGCAGTATATCTGCCAAACACACCCTTTTGTCATCACCTAATCTACCTAAAATGGACCAGTCGAGAAATGTAAACGAGGTGAAGGGCCAACTACAACTGAACATGATCACACTTGCAATCATTGAAATACTATACAGTAGACTCTTTTTAACAAAACCTGAAGCAACCAGGAAAATGTGTTTCGTTTAAGGAGAGTTTCATTTACTGAGAGATAAACAGGGGTAGAATATTCAAGTAGGAAACCAAACATATTAGTGGCAGTTGCTCCATTTAAGCAGCAAATTCATTTAAAAGAGTTTCGTTTAGTGAGAGTCTACTGTATTACTTGTGAATGAGGCAATACAGTAACGATTCAGAGATTTAACACCACAAGCCAGAGCAGGGGCTGCGAGGAAGGTCAGAGCGACCAAGGTACTGAGGATCGCACCTGTGGATTATTCTCATTCCCATAGCTCCTCAGACACAAATAGAAAACTTCGTAGGCAAGCACTCTCGAGATGCAGCCCTGCAAAACAAAACAGAGCCATCACAGCCAAAGACTATACAAGCAGTCTCATTCGTGATGGCAGAATGCCACATCAGGATAGCAAGCGTCCCCACAAGGCGAAGGATAATCCAACCATATTTGGGAGGGAGGCACTTGCCCAGTCCCGGACCGGTCATTGGCGCTGCTTTGACACTGTGGCACAGTGGCAGCCTAGCTCAGAGGATGTACAAGTGAAAAGATGCTTTGAAGGTAAAGTGGTCTTTTTTTTTTATCTCGCATGCCACTGAAATTACCATAGCACGTGAGCTCACCAGAACACATCAAACTTCTTGCACTTCCATGCAACAAATCATGGGTACGATTCTTTTCCATCATGACCATGTTTCAATACAGGGAGGGAGAAACGCAAGAGATGCTTATATACTCAGCTTTGTAAACAGATTGAAAAAACCCTAGTGGTTTTAGAATTCATCCGAAGCCCTCCACTACGTTCTCTTTCACAGTCCCCGCATCGCATAAGAATGTTAAACACCATGAATAAAATAACCTATCAGAATACATTAGGGCATATATACTGCATGTCCTTGACTGATTCTGTGACCCACCTGGAGCATGTGCCGGCTGTCAGAAACATGAGGAGGACGTATGTGACGAATGTGAAGCCAACAGCCGACAGTGTGCCTCTGGGAATGGCCTTGGCCGGGTCCTTCAGCTCCCCTGTGTGAGTCACCACATCAGCCACATTAACCTTAATTAACCATGAACCACACGTGTGCAAGCATATCAACTTTACTCGCATAATTGTTCACTTAGAACAACTTCAAGTTTATCAGCTAGCAACTGCACAATTAATATTGGCACAAACCACTTTTTATTGCAGGGGCAAGAATATATTTAAGGACAATCACGCAAAACCAACAGACGACGGAGCAAAGAAAGCCCAGAGGAAGACTTCACGTAACCACTCCATACTACAATACAGCAAGGTGTAAGATATCCACATTAGCGCATGGACACTGCATGAAATGCAGCTGCAAGTGCTTAAAAGTTACATTCCGGACTGTCTTCACACAAATTAACACTGGCATTTCGCATGCTTCTTCCTTCAACATTCAGCTTTGACAGTCAAGCCAATCTACTGTACCTGCAACTTCTAGCTTAGCAACACAACACCATAGCCTGATGCAGGAAAATGATATAGTTCAAGCGTTGAACCAATATGCACTATTGACAAAGAAAGTACCCATAATTCACTCAACTGGTTAACCTCAGGTACTAATTTTCGAAAAAAACGTCTCACTGTTTCACATTGAGAATTCCCAACTGGAGGTGTTAGTATGCAAATGAACTCAACTCACCAGACATGTTAGCACCTGCCATGATGCCCGTCACACCGCTGAAGAGTACACCAAACACAATGGGGAATGTGGTCATGGTCTTTGTGGTGTAGTCAATAGTGTATGAGGCTGCAAAGACAGACACGAAAAACGGTACTTGTGCATATTAGCAAGGGCTGTCCACCTTAAGCACACAGCTATACGAAGAAAGCACATCCACCCGAGTCCACAGCTCAAGACAACACCTACACATATTCGCGTGCCCGCAACGGCATAACGAACCATCAACACAGCTCCAAAGCCCTCAATCACAATGTACAAGTCCTTGTACTATCGATATCTTGATGCATTATGGATAGTACAAGGACTTTCAATTAGGAATGCACTTATTTTCTTCTCACAGTAGTGAATACACCACTAAAATCGATTGTGGTGGCCGAATGTCAAAACTGTTGAGAAGAGAAGTTGAAAGCTAGCACACTGAGTAACATGTCTGATTTTTTTTTTCATGTAGCTTTTTGTACAGGTATATCATTTTAAGCATGAACTAACTGGCCCAAGATCTCATTCAGCAAAATGGTCCCGAAGGCTGGTGCATTCCAAACATTGCTGCAGAGCAAAAATATCTGTATACACTTTCGCCAGACGCCATGTCTGTCGAAAGTCCCAGAATCTTTAAAATTTCTCCAGAGTACAGCCTGTTTAGCAAGATCTGTAAAGTGATACACATGACAAGGCATGCTAGAATACTGTATTTGTTGGAACATTTTGAGAGTGCCCATGCAGTGAACACAGGTTGTGTAGCAGTGACAGCGGTAGACGGTACGCCAAGAGTACACGCGCACACGTCCTTCTATGTCCCCGAACCTTAAATAGATTTTTGTCCGAGAACCAATGCTACGGGCGATCGAGTGTTACTGTACTGAGTGCACAGTGAAATTAAAAAAGCACAACTCACACCAAATGTTGTTGGTGAATGTGACCCAGCTGAAGCCTGTGTACGATGCGTGGGTGATGTTGAGGTCACGCATGTGTTGGTTCTCCTGCGGCAGCAAGACATCAAAGGCGGGCTGCGCCAGAAAGCTGACCATCACCGAGAGGGCTGACACAATGACCACACCGAAGATGACAACAGTCGTCTTGGCAAACATGGTCGCCCCAACCAGGCACACGATGAGGTTGACAAAGTTGACGCCCGTGCCGTACAGCAGGTTGTACCAGAAGCCCTCGGGAAGAAGGCGCGCCACCCCACCTGGAAAAGTTGGAGACACCATATTAATTTTTTTTTCATACTGTATTGCTGCAGAACAGTTAAATTTTCCTCAATTACACAACTCCATAGAAAAAAACCTCGGGTGGTTAATCCTTTATTATATGCTTCCTCACTTCTTTACCACAGTAGACTCTCAGTGAACAGGGATCTGTTAAAATAGCTGCTCAAATGGATCAGCTTCCTCTGATTGGTTTCATACTTGAATACTGCAGCTCTGTTCACCTCCGAGTAAATGGAACTTCTGTTAAAGAGAAAACAGCCAAGTAGATATGGCAAGCCAGGTGCCCAGCTATCACTACTTGAAAATAACAGAGTGAGAAGCATAAAGATATCCTCTTGAACATAAAAATTTAGAAAGCATATCATACAACTTAATTTAAAAAAAAAGAGAGAGAACAGGAAGACTTTCCTCATTTTTAAAGCATACTACTCGTGGTCCCTATCATAGAAGAATATAGTAAGGTCATCTTCTGCCTGTACGTCTACTTCACTTTTCCATTATGTGTCTGTATGAATTGCACAGTTGGAACAGATGTGCTTCTTTGGAGAATCAACTGACATCACCATGCTATTTTCTGTTCAAGTAATATCTCCAAGTTCCAAGTAATCCAGTTGACATGACAGATTTTAGCGCAAAAGTGTTAATAAAAAGCTGACATCAGGCAGCATCGACCTCGTGAATGCAAAGAATACATGTCAAGGTCCCACCAAGAATCGAACCCCGGTATTCTGTGTGGCAATCAAGTATTCTACCACAGAGCCATGCCAGCTTTCAGACCTGCTTTTCAAGTAGACCCTAATGTTCGTGAAACGTCAATTGTGGCTGTAGTACTGGCTATCCCAATTCTAAAACATTACGTATGTACTCCCATGATACAGCCATCACGTCGGGTTAACGTCAATCGTGCAGGTAACTCTCAGTAAACATAAACCTTTTAAACAGAACTGCCTCTGATATGACTGGTTTTGTACTCATATTCTGCAGCTCTGATCATCTCTCAGTAAACAGAACTTGTATTGAATAGAAAACTTGCCCTATCCCTTCAGGTTCCGATTAATTGAGACTCTAGCTGTAGTTAGGAGTCATCCTGCTGAAGTTGTTTATTTAGCAATGTCCAGGACCACCATCCTTATGACCACAGGCGCTACCTATCAGCTTACTGCATCTGGTGTTGCCGATACCCATTTTGCATTCGGCATTGTTACGCAACTGTAAACAAATGGTTATATAAAGCATCTGCGACTGCTCAAGGTACGTCTGTATGTGCAACATTTATATATATCTTTAGCATCGTTTCGTAAAGTTTGGCTGAATAAAAAATTTACGACACAGTCACCTTTGATTTGCATGCTCCACATAACATCAATTACCAAGGTACGCGAGCTACGCCCAATTTTTGTCATACACATTTCATAAGTAAGCTGTTACACTAAATTAAAATTGCTATGTATCTAAATCAAAAGTACAGGCCTAGTTGCCACATTAGTAACCACACCAAAGTTACCCCCCACAAGAATGATGCAAGCACTAAGTTAAAGGAACTGTTTACCATCCTATGTCTCCTTTCTGTTTTGTGCTGCAATACAAAGTATACCCTCTTGATGTGTCCAATCATGCAGCAGTTTCTCCGGAAAGCGACAAGAAATTTTTAAAAGATAATTTATCTATCTACTTTCAGTCATTGTAAATTCATGTAGAGATGCCTGCAACACTGGTTACTGCAAGTGACGACAATCGTGGTCCTGGTGAGAATTGAAAAACTAGAACCACGAGCAGTTTTTGCAGGCATTAATAGGATTCCTTTAATAATAAAGCTCTCCCCACATCGGTTGTTCAAAGTATACAAGTTGTCAAATAGAGTATTACTACTACAATCTCTCCAGCTTTGTTCAGTGAGCCTGAAATACCGCTGCGGTCGAGTGGAAAACTTGGTCTGTCCTAGCAACACTGGCATACCGGCGCTGTGAAACGGACTGTACTGGTTCCATTTATACCAAACGTGCTACTAAAATAAACCCGAGACATGCTTAGCACAAGAAAAAAAGATCCTTGCTTTTTTCAGTTATGTTTAGTTGTTCCGAGTTGCATATGCGACATGACAGCCAACACAGACATCATGCTCGTGTGGCTCGTGTTTCTCGCTAATAGGCAGACAGGTGAATGCGTTGCTGACAGAGCTAGTAGGCGCTTTAAACGCATGAGAAAAAAAAAGCACAAAATTATCCTCAGACGTAAAGGAGAGTTGTCAAAAGTGCATGAAATACACTTTTAATAAATACTCAATTGTTTTCGAAGCAAAATAATTCCATCTACGAGCTTTTTGCTCCTACCAATAGAATGAAACACATCCCTGTTGGGTGACGTTAGCAGACATACTTTCACTGATTTTTCAATGCCTATAAAAATATAATCCATTTTTTATCAGACAACAACATGCTTGTTACCGCCGATGTTACAGTCTCGTTTTCACCCCCAACAAAACATTTTTTCCAAGCTGTAGGCAGTTCATTCAAGCAAGGAGCATGTTCAGTTTGCTTACAACAAGGGAATAAGCGAGCCAGAATCCAGAATCTCAGTCTGGCAGCTTCACTTCGAGATACTGCTACAGGAGACACTATCCACAGCACTTACCGGATGGGCCAAAGTTGTTGACCAAACCCTCCACGCATCCTGTGATGTACAGGGCACTGGAGAAGATGTTTGCTATGAAAAACAAGGTGCCGATACTGCCACCAAATTCAGGTCCCAGCGCTCTGCTGATCATGACTGAGACAACAGGGTCAAGGTTTCGTTTTTTTTTTTCTTTTCCCTCCACTATAAGCCAGGAACAGCGGGGTACTATCAATGAATTTTGATTCCCTGGACATGACCCCTCTTTCAAGTACAGGAACATTTTTGCCTTCTCCTCCTTAACACTAAAGGGCTGCCATATCTTATCAATGAGAAGCTATAAATCTACTGACTTAGGGCTTCATTTCTATATGCAGTGCGTGGTTCCTAAAATGCTTAAAGAAAAACATAAAACCCTGAACGAAAATATTGCTCCTACAATGAGCAAAGTTCATTATGTTCTCTCAAACGAGACAAATATAAATGAAATTGGTTTTAGCGATTGGCAAATGAAATCCCTTCAATATGTCGAATGTAAAAGTAACTCAAAAACTAAAGCTTTGGTAAAAGGCTTACTTTGCAACAACCCTGTGCTGCCAGTAAGGATTATGCATAGCAATCTACAATAGATCTATTATTACTAATTACTGGTGTATCATGTGCCACAAACAACAATATCTTTAAGAGAGACGCTGCATTAGAGAGCTAAGAAAATTTTGACAATCTGGCATTCTTAAATGCACACCTTGCGGGCCTCGAGCACTTCTCCTCCACGAGTATGGCCACTACAGTAAGGATTCGATTCTGGGACTTTCAGGCGAACAGTGAAGTGCCATAGCCGCTAGACCACCACAGTGGCTATAGAATGAATCTATAAAAAGCATTGAAGAACACAAGAAGTCTCTGTCAGGTTTATATCAGAGGTCTGCAGAGAACATGTGCAGTGCTAAAATAGATGATTGGGACAAATAGACAAGGTGAGAACATTTATTCAGTTTTCTACCTTCTTCATATCTATCCGACCACACTTAGAGATCTATGAACATTGAAAAAAGTGTATAGAAAATTTATTATAAAAATATAGTAAGGCTGTGCAATAATAACAAAACAAAAACCTATGCAAGAATACATCAGAAATTGCAGGCCAGTGACACAGACACACACACACCCATACAAGAAGATACATTGTGAATCCATGTAAATAGTGTTCAGTTAGAATCATTTTTATGTGCAAAGTGGGACAGCAGATATATCAGCAGTAGCACGTTCCAAGCCCAGGCAAGCACACTGTCCGCTGTTGAAAGATTTTGGAAGACTGAAACAAAGCTATCTGCTATCTCCATATCAGTTCGTGAAATGCAGTACGTATGGTCAAAAAGCGCGAGCTTTCAATGTAGGGCACCTTGAAAGATAAAGCTCCAATCTGACTTGCAACCTTCACACATTATCTTTCTCGGGCTGTGCACTATGAGAGATAAAACATTAGAAGTTTTTAGAGCTATTCATAAAGTGGGTTAGACTTCTTAAAATAGAAATGGAAAAGCACAGACTAACAGCATTGAGATGCAGTTCCTTCACCTGATACTGTACACAACTTCCTATAACACTTGACAGTATTCAGCGCTGCATTAAAATGCAGTTCCTTCACGTTACACTGTACACAATTTTTATAACATTTGGCAGTTGCGAAGGATTTAAATCCCTTACAACACTTGCAATTCACAGTATTGCAGTGTCAGCACGCACCTTGCAGAACTTCCAATAGATGACGTATGGAACAATCCGAAGGTAATAGAATGGACGGATAATTTTAATTGCCTTGCTGATTGTCTTGCAGCATGACACCCAGCACAGATGATTGTGCGAGCCAGTGCTTTCGGTGATCATACCTGCAGTGTTTGATTGATTGATTGATTGATTTGTGGGTTTTAACATCCCAAACCACTATATCATTATGAGAGATGCCGTAATGGAGGGCTCCAGAGATTTCGACCACATGGGGTTCTTTAACGTGCACCCAAATCTGAGCACACGGGCCTACAACATTTCCGCCTTCATTAGAAATGCAGCCACAGCAGCCAGGATTCGATCCCACGACTTGCGAGTCAGCAGCTGAGTACCTTAGCCACTAGACCACCGCGGCGGGACTGGAGTGTTTTTCCCCATTTCAGTGGTGCCGCCTTTTGCGTTCTGCTGTGTTGTTTTGATGACCTTTGGGAAGAGTCGTACTCGATCATTCTAAGTGGAAGTTCCCTCCCTTCCCCCTTTTTTTCACCTTTTTTCCCGCTCCCCTTGATGACTCCTAAACTGGAAATCGCTAATGCCACTCAACATATTCTCTCTCGCTTTAGGAGCGGGCATCTCTTATCAGAGAAACGAGTACGCCCAGCAAGTAAGGCCGTAGAAGTGGCTCTCCCTCAGCATTGCCCCAAAAGGACAATGCACCGCAGAAACATATCTCATCGACACCCACTTTCCGATGCCACGTCAGCATCTGCATCCACTTTAACCTGCCATTTTTTGATCGGCCAAGCTGCATCGCGCAGCGTCTGTTTTCCACTTTCAGCAGCCCTTCATACTGCCCTCTGGGGCAGAATACGACGGCGTTTAACAAGGAGTAATGGCCGCCGCATAAGTTTTCTCGCAAAGCGCTCCGCTATCGGTGGCGGTGTACTCCTCCTGGTCCTTCCACCTGATAGCCACCAAGCAAGCCTTTCCTCTTTTCCAACTCTCTCTCTCTCTCTTTTTTTCTTCCCCTCTCATTTGTTGCGTATATAAGAACAGAAACAAACATGAAAATTTTGTTTTGATAAAGGTCAGCCTCTGGCCGAAACGTCGACATCATAAATGAAGTCTTCTTGAAGTGCCACTCTCTCATACTTTTATATATACAGTAACGAAAGCCAACCACTCCTTGAACTATACAGTCGAACCCCTTTGATATAAGAGACTAATGGGTATAAGAGACACCAGTGGGCCTACGGCTAAATACGGGTTGATAAGAAAATGCATACGAGGTAACCCGCTTATAAGACGTCTCATATAAAAGACAAGAACTGCTGCCCGGAGCATGCCTCTTATAAAGGGCATGTCTCTTTAACTGTATACATAAATAGTTAGATATGTGGAAGAGCAAGTCGGGCACCCCGCCCCCTCTAATATTATGAAAGCTCAATGATATGTCTGCAGACACAGTTACATGTAAGCACGGTTTGTATAAAATCCAAATACTAGATCAAAGCATAGCCATTATCACTACAGGTAGCAATTGTGTCCTGGCGGCAATGCAGAATGAGGATTAAGCTTGCTTGCTGAAGTGTTCACACGATCACTCCCGGTCATTATTCTGTTACTAGCTAAAGGGTGTCGATTACAAATTATACTGCACTCTCTAAACAGTGTCGTTTGGTTTGTCAGAGTGAGAACATAATTTACTGCCGCAACGAAGAAAGGCAAAACTCCCCCAACTCAAAATAAATGCACAGAACCCAGTCCTCATGCGTTCTCTGACACGCAAGGCAAGTGGACTCTGTAAATGCGCTACGCATTAAAAAAAAAAAAAAACAGCACCACGTGCCTCTGAATAGCCAGAATAATTTTTTACAGACCATGCTAAGCTCAGAGAAACTAACAGTATCGATTTTTCATGTTTACTATAGGCAAAAAGCTCAGGTTGTTACAGTCTGACAAAAAGCGGCTTCGTAGCTCGTCAGTTGGTCTCGAAAAGCTGGCCTTTCGGGCTCAATCAATATGCACATAAATGAGTAGGGGCACTGGATAGTGTTAAGAAAGACCTAATCATTCCAAGCAAACAAGGAACCAAATTTCAATCTAAAAGAAATTTGCCCAGCCCCTTGTCCTTAAACATTTCTAGCATGTGGCCTGCGAAAACCACATTTTTTAAACGTCTACGTTCCCCTTTAATGATTAAATATTTGCTTTTTCTCCTTGATTATCCCTTTTGTCATATAAATGCAAGAGTAAACAAAGATCCATGTCAGACAGAACATAAAACACAAGCGAAAGGTTCGGGTACAATTCGGTTAGTCACAAAATGTGTTACCCCATACTTGAGACCCCGTGACACAGAAACAGAATGGCATTCGATCACAAAGGCCTACCTTGTTTTTATCAATAGACAAGATAAAGCTGCCAGTGTGTCACACAATGACCGAGGACAAGGCGACAAAATCCACGAGTACTTCCTCACAAATGTAATCAGCGTTATAATATTTTTCCAGCTCAATAGTTTCGGCAAAATCTGCAAAGACTGCTACATCCCACACATATGTGTGCCCTTCTTTCACTTTGAAGCCAAGGACTAGTGCCACAAAGTTTCACAGCGCCTCTCTTTCAATATTTAAAGGGCCAGTAAACAGGCTCCGTATGTTTGGCTCCTCTTACAGAAGTTCACCAATTCGTACTGTAGGGCTCCGAAATAAAGAGGCATCTCGCTACTTTTACTGCTAGGGGAAGGCTGCTTCTCGATCTACGCTTCCTCCCCACACCGCCATGACACGCATTCTTGTCAGGGCTGCATTGCTTGGTCATTGGCTGCGGACCCGTGACGTATTGCTGCCATCATGTCACGTTGCCAAAGTGGGTGGAGTCACGGCAACGGGCCACGCGTTCCCCCTCCCTTCAGCATAGGAGGGTGGCAAGACCGCAAAAAAAATTTGAAACCAGCTGAAACAGATGTTGTAACCTGTGCACCTTTCTTATTATAGCATGTATGCACAAAATTCTTCTGGCAGCATGTTCACATAGCGAAAGTGCGCATATTCATTACAATTTTTGGACTTCGGGGTTGTTTACTGGCTCTTTAATAAAGAGGTCTTGAAAGCTTAGTGAGATGCCATGTTACTTTATGAAACATTTCTTAACTTTCTCCACCAACAACAAATTTAATATGCAGAAGCTAGTAACTGAACCTGTGGCTTTGCTAACATTTTCAGCTGACAATTCTTCCAAGTACCAAATGACTTAGCCTTACTAAGTCATTTTTCAAAACGCTCCTAACTTCAATGTTGTGATGGTTATTTCTTGATACTACAGTCTGGTAAAACTAAGTACAAGTAGACCAAAAATTTCAGGAACAAAACAAAGGTATTGAGCCCATACAAGAGTGTGGAACGTTGCAAAGCTCCCTTCTATAGTATGAATACTATAGTTACAGACAGTCAAGCTAAAGCAATACTTCAATGCAGTTGATCAATAGGAATCGTTTTCGTTTCACTACTGACAAAACAAGACATCAGAATTGAAAAAAAGGATACAGTAAGCACCACCTCCTTCCACGGCACCATTTGTAGAGATTGCGCAAATGGACAACACAGTGAAGAAAAGGATGGAGTAGGCGAGTACAATCTCAACCAGGCACTCGAGTAGGCCGGAATGACCTATTAGAAAGCCTGTTCCGAAAGAGAGAGAAAAAAAATTACGGGCAATGAGTGACAAAGCAAAACCATTGCATTTAGACAACACAGACACTTTTTTAAAAGCAATGAAGTGTCAACACTTCATCAATTGAAACGTCCGGCAAATTGCATCGGTATACCAATGCATTACTTCAACACATGTGGCAGTTTGACTACTAGGTTGACTACTGACTGTGCCTAAAGAACTGGACAGCACAGGCAACCAGCAATGCCCATTGATAGAGTTCCAACTGGCCTATTTACCAAAGAATCCATGATGTGAATGTTTGGGGTAAGCGTGTAGGATTTTCCAGGCACAAGAACAATCTTGTTAGGAAGATTCACAAACGCTGTGTGTGCGATATGTACACTACTTTGGCTGCACTTTGGTGGTTTCTTGCTTCTTACCGCAGTCGAGATACACGTCATCTGCAGCAAATTCAGTCATGCTGCTTGCCCCTTCAGATATAGGGCAATAGAAAGCCACAGGCCAGCAAGAGAAATTGTGCGCTGTAAGAGGCAGTGGCGCTCTATCTTGCATTGTGCCCGAGTCAGGTGCATGTTTTCTAAACGTTTCTAGCAAACTTAAATTGCTGTGATTACTTCACATTTACTTCTGCTAATTGTATTATTTCCGACCTTGTTTGTTCACTGTCATTCGGTTTTGAGCACTGCTAGCCTTATTAGGGCCTTTACAGAGTGCTTTACTGTATGTGAGACTCCACTGCATGAGATCCATGGATAGACAACAAGCCAGTCCCTTACGGTGCTCCGCACTTCAAGTAATGAAGAAAATGGACTGTTCAGTGTACGTGGGCAATGAAAGAGGCATATGGTACCCATGTGTCAGGAGCGACTAGGTTTCAAATAAGTACATTTTACCTTCGCACGGCATTTTTAATCTTCAAAGTTCGTTTACAATATTTAAGTACTCTGATGTGCATAATTACAACAGATCATCTTTAGAAAACACAGGCGTAATCAGGGTGTAAAACGGAGCATGTGAGCTGCGGCCAAGCTATACGAATGCCAGCGTACTCCACCAGAGAAGTGGTTCTTTATTTTTACATGCAAATGATGGTGCTATCTTCAGGCACGTTTTCATACAAAAACAAAAAAGCACTTCCCTGATGGAGCACACTGGCATTCACAATTGCGTAGCTTGACCACAATCCGCGTGCTCCATTCTACTTCTTGATTACCTGCGCATGGCAAACTAGCTTTGGAACATAAGAACAAAGCACCACGAAAGTTCATGTCTGAACTTAGTTCAAATTAAAACTCCAGGGTTCGTGTTCCCAAAAACGTCTTATGCTAAAAATTCCGTAGAAGAATTTTTTAGCTAATCACGATGCGACACTTATCATTAGCGAGGCCAGCTGACCAATGGCAAATGCACTGACGAAGAATGTTTCGAAAATTTGACTCCTGTTCAAGGAAAAAAAAAAGGCGATCACAGCTATACACACAACGGTGAATTTCATGCAGCTGCTTCCATGCGTTTGACGTGTGTTAAGTGTTATGAAATGTTCGCGCTGCCACATTCACCCCACACACGCTGGTCACGGAAGCAAGAGAAATAAAAAAGGGGACACCTCCGCAGGAGGCGTATTTTAATGATACAGTTGCTCCTGAAAAGGTCTCGCACTGGGTAGGAGATAAAAGCAATGCAAGTTGGCAGTTGCAGCTTTACAACCTCGGAATACGCCAGAGTCACACAAGGCGTGCAGCGGTTAATAATAGCACGTCACCCCCCGTTACAGCCACAAGCGCAAAGAAGAAATCATTAGCGACGAAAACTCGTTTTTCACCCCCCATGCAGACGTTTACCGCCAACTTGGCCGAACACAGCTGTTTGTGGCGTACCGTTACGTCATGCCGACGCGAGCAAAAGCGATTACGGCGCTAAAGAGATAACCTGTAGCGCGGGTTGCCCCAGTGCGCGTGGCCTCCGTCTCCCCTGCCCCCCCCCCCCCTTTTTTTTTTTCGTTCCGTATGTCTGCAGCCGCAGCTGATTACATCAGCCGCGACATCCGCCCCATTCATTCGTTGAAACATCGCCGGGCGCACCACGTTTAAAGCACTCAATATCAGTTCATCGTTGGAAACAAGGGCATTTCTCTCGGCTAGCTCCCTTTCTAAGGAACGCTTCTAGAATTCCGCTTGGCGGCGGCGAGCACCGAAAAGAAAGTTCACTTTAAATTCAATCGCATCGCTGATTACGCAGGCACGATCTCCGACAAAGGCTGTCGACCACCCGCTGTTGCACGTAACGCTTGCTACTTTACAAACTACTAATTGTTTCGCCTCGCCGTCCGACAAGACGCACAGGTGCGCTCAAAGTAGCGCCGCGCGCGCTCCTCCGCTTTCCGCGTGAGCAGTGGCAACATATACGCATCCATCTTTCGGAAATGCGGCCTGCCCTTCTCGTTGGGCTCCACGCAAGCTAATCGGGCTGTCCTGTCTGTCATTTTGAATCGAAGAAACGGTTCCAGTGTAACGCGCTGCTCACGAGCGAGTGAGTCACTTCCTGAAAGCCCTTCGCTGTGCGGCTGGCCGACCCCGTAAATGGGCCTTGCGCTCTCTCTCGGCAAGAAACCACGGGGGTGTAGGGGAGGTCTCCATACATTCTCAAGTGTGACGGGGGCCAGGCTCACGAAAGGGGGTGGGAAGGACGCGAAGCAATAAAGAAAAACGACACTATTTGGCCGTGATCACGTACCGATCCGTAGGAACAGGATCGCGCTGAACATGGAGAGGCAGACCGGGGTGAAACATCCCGAGAACGTGGCGAGCCGTCGTGTGGACGGCGGCTGACATGTCGTCTGCTGGGGACTCTGGGTGCCCCCACTCAGGCTGCGAAACAGCCTGGTGTGCCGAAGGAGAGGCGTCCTGTCGTTGGGTCGCGGCGCCTGCACAGCGCCCTGCGCTAGCGACGAGAGGGAGGCCACTGAAGACGACTGCGACGTTACCGATGCGCTGTTGTTCGGGTCTGTCATTTGAACGACCACGACGGGGTGCTCGGGAACTGCGAAGCCTAACGACGACGGCTCGACGAGCTTCTTGTGGTTGTGAGCCATACGCTCGGGGGAAGTCCAAGCGACTGGAACGGGAGATGCCTCAGGCGCTGGCGAGGCTCGAACAACGGCTAGCGTCGCCTGTCACCGCGACAGCGGCAACGGGTATCACCTGGGACCCATTGGGGGGCTAGCGCGCCTGAGTAATGCGCGGCCACCTCACCACCGATCGTGAACCGCTTGGCGTTCTTGGGTCCGCGGCTGCTATTACACGCCTACCGTTGCCGCTGCTGCTTGCTGCTGCCGTCAGACGTGAACATTAGACGTCGACATAACGTAAGCGGTAAGCCTGCGAAATAGCGCGTCAGATGGCAGCACGCATTGCGAGTGTGGTCGGTTTGCGCGTTTGCGTGATTCGTGAATGACAGGTCGAGACACCTGCTGCCGTCGTTCCAAGGTACGGTACCTTTCGCGGGAACTCTTGAAACGCCCTACGTGTGGATCAGTGGACAAATGACCATTTTTTTGTCTCCTGCGTCTCTGCCTAACTGAACAAATTAAATTATCAGGTGAAGCTTACACGAATATGTCAATCCACTATGTATGCGGCTCCAAGTTTTGTAAAAAGCCAGCAAATCGCTCGCTTGCGCCCAGATCTGCATTGTAAGAGCTACGCACATTGTAAAAGAAAGTACAGACATTCATCACAACTGCTAAGATTAATGTGAAAATGTGTGAATACTCCCCAGAGAACACCTACGTTTCAAAAGTTAAAGCGTGAAAAAAATTTTGGAGGGGAGGGGGGGTCGAAACCATCTCAACTTTCTTCTACTTACCGCTTTAGCTGTTTCTTTGTATCTCTTTTTCTCTTTATCTATTTCTGTACTTTCTTGCCTTGTCTTGTCGCCTAGAAGATCTTGGCTCATACCCACAAGGGGGATTGGCCATACTGTACTGTATAATGGAATTTTTTCATACAACGCTAGCTAAAAAGAGAGAAATTAGATAAGAAAAATAATAATGTTCCTTTGAAAAAACGTGAAAAAGTGCAGAAGAATTCGATAAACCAGAATTTATAAAAGAAATTAGCAAAAAGTGAAGAAGGGGGACAAAGAATTGGATATATATTTGGCAGTACCACTAGCAGCGTATCCTTCCAGTTCCCTGAATTAATTTATGTAGCGCTGACAGAATAGCACTGCTGCCCGCACCCAACTGACTGGCTCCAAACAATAAAAGGGTAGATATATTAGCTAGCAATTCGAGCAGACCAATCGGTCTCTCAAGAATTATTCGGCGCTGTGAGGCGAAGCGGCGGCATGTGAGAAGAAAGTGATCTATTGTTTCCGGTCCAAGCGTTGAAATCATTGTTCGGTGGATTTCGAAATTTCCAAATTCATATCAAATCAAATACGACGCTTTATTGCATTACACTACATATTATATACAATTCAACCGTCAAATTCGTCTTGTTGCATCTTTATTTTATTTCTCGTAAATGGATCAATTTTAATCTGTTATTAAAGAAGAAATTCATGAAAACTATCCGGTTCTTTGCCAATCCCCCAGCGTGGGTATGCGCCACATCGTCAAGAATCTTGTCTTGTCTTGTCATTGCAAACTGCACATAGGTTACTTAATGAAAATCCTGATTTGTGGAGATATAAATTTTACCGAGGAACTTTACAGCGAAAGCTTGTGAGGGTCACCTCACATTGACGGGAAAGGCACTTTGCGGGGTTCCATGCATTCAAGTTGTTACACGCAAGTTGCACGCACATGCGAGTTGTTACTGTACACATACTGAAAACCAAACTACGCATGTGCGCAGGGGGGGGGGGTAGTAATTTTAAGTGAAAAGAAGAGAAAAGTGGGCCCTGTAACTGTCTCTCAGGGGGAGGACACCTCAACAGTAGCTCACGAGGGACGGGGATAGAGAGAGGAAGGAAAGAGCGAGGCGCAGGGACAGCGAACGACGGAAGTGAGGAGAACATAGGTGTGATGAGCGAAGAAAACGACAACGACGGAAGTGCGGGGCAAGGCGCGTTTAATGTGCGCGTGACTGTCAGCGAATCAGCTGATGACCAGTGGTGGCCCATAGAGGTGGCGTGCCACGATTGGGCCACGTGGGACCATTACGTGGCAGTGGGCTTTGTGGCTGGGGACGAGCCGAAGCAGCGGCAGACGGGAGACAGCGGGCCGAAGCGTCGGACGCAGGTGATCCAGGTTCCGGCCAGGGAACGCGGCCGTCCACGCTGCTGCCGTCCAGCTACCAGCTGGGGCGGCGTTGCCGGCACGAGTACTGCATCTCGGGGCGCGGCCTGGCCTGCTGTTCTCTTCCTTGCCGAGGGCATCGCGGATCTCGGCGAGGCGTCTCCATGGTCAGCCGTTCGAAACAGCGATGAACGTGGCCTGGCTAATGGTCACGGATGCGTCGAGCATCGCGTCTCGGCGCACGCTCTTCGCTGGACGGGCTGGCCATGCCCCGCATGGAGCATCGCGTCTCCGATGCGGGTTGACTGCTCCGTGGCCGCACCTATGCCATCAAGCGCCGGTGTCACGAGAGCGTCGCACTTCGGCAAGGGACGAGCGAGATGTTCTGCCGGGCGAGACGCGGGAGTGCGCACAGAGGAGCACGGAGCCGGGTGAGGATTCAAGGTGGCCGAGGATTCAGATGCCAGGGGAGAGACTGGCTGAATCTAGGATCGCCGAGTGGTGCCGAGCGACGGGCCAGACTCGGACGTGGGCCACGAGCTCATGAGCTGCAGGGTGCACCCGAGGGTACCTGGCGGTGCCCTGGCCAAGAAGGAACGTGCGAAAGCGAGCTCGAGCGTGGAGGCCAGGAAGGCAGACGAAGCAGTGCGCCGCTCGAGAGGACGAGTTCCTGGGAGCGTTCCTGAGCCGGACGTGGGACCCGTACGTGTCGGCTAGGTCGAGCTCCGGCGTGTTCGCTCGGGGTCGAGTCCGCCGGCCGGTGCAAGGTGCAAAGACGGGGCCTGCTGAACGGCTCCTGCCTGGGTGCAGTGGCCGGGAGCAGGTTCGTGGCGAGGCCTACCGGGCGTGGTCCTCGTGAGCCGGGGCCTGACCCTGAACCTCAGGAGTTGCGACCCTGACTGCTGGCCGCGACGTCCGACTCAACGGCGCTGCACACGGTAGCGTATCCGTGCGTCGTCAGCCGTTCCACCCATGCCATGAAATAAAAAAAAGTTTATGTTAATCCTTTCTCGTCCGCTGTCAACAAACACAGTGACGAACGTCCTTAACCATCACAATAGGAAAGATGGGAACGATCGCAGGAGTCCGAGGACGGAAAACCACTGGCGAGAGCTCTTGTCGGTGACAGGAGATGGCGTAGGGCTAATCCAGTCAGCCAGAGCTACGCTGTCGTCGTCGTCACGGACCGGCGTCAGGAGGTGGCGTAGGACCAACCCAGTCAGCCACAGCTGCACTGTCGTCGGAGATCGCGAGGGCGCAACCGGTCGGCGCGGAATCCAGCGAGCGAGTCAGCATTGGGTCTTGCTGGGCACAACAGTTTCACCCGCTGCCACATGCAGGAGCACTGCCCAACCGTCACTGACCTGCAAGGCGTTCGCCGTCGTTCCGCTTAGTGATGGTGCTCAATGCGATTTCGCTGAACAGTTAAAATGCTTCATCCGCGTCATCCGCCGCATGACACATGGATATGCACTCGTTCTACGCACTGTTCATGCCTCGTGGCGGACGAAAGGTTTTGTAAACATTGCTAAGAGTACAGTAACTGCCAGGAGAACACTGCATAACCAATAACGCGGCCAATAACGCATAACCAATAACGGATATTGTCCACCACGGCTCAGCACGAGACCTGTGGAGGCACACATGCCGCCGCCAACCGCGGCCGCTCGCTGCTTGACCAGCTACTCTGCGCAACACGTAACCATAGCAACGCCGCCATTGTGCCCAGTGAATACGGCCGCCATGATGTCATTTCCTCCACACTTTTCACGTAGCGTGCCGGCTGAGCATGTCCTCGCCTATCTTTCCTTCCTTCGTGGAATAAACTGAGGAGATGCCGTTACGCCACATTTTGTGGCGACGGAAGTATATGGAAGAGTAAAGAACTCCTCCTCTCAATTGTGGGCACGCTACGGCAGCACGCGTGGGCGCAACGGGCGTTGGTGATAGGGAGGCGCCGGCGTGCCCACCTTGTCCCACAACCCCGCTGCAAAAGCATGTGACTTCCGCCACAATTTTTGCTCTGCAGCTCGCCTTGCGAGTGCCTCTCCTTAGCTTTCCTTGCTCCACGGTACATATTCATGTTTTATTTGTGCCTCTTGTTTACATTCACTATATGTGTAGCTGCAGTGTCTTCTTGTGATACACTTTTGTGTGTCTGTGCATAAGCCTCGGCTACGGTCTGTGCTTAGCGGGTTAGGGGGAGACAAAGGTTAGGTGGGCAGATGAGATTAAGAAGTTTCGGGTGTACATTGGCAGCAGCAAACACAGGACCGAGTTAGCTGGCAGAACATGGGAGAGGCCTTTGTCCTGCAGTGGACGTAGACAGGACGACGACGATGATGATGATGGTGATAATGATGATGATGATAATGATGGTGGTGGTGGTGGTAGTCGTCTGTGCTTGTACAAAACATTGACAGTACGTGTTTCTTCCAAGCCATCTCATTTCCATTTTCATGTAAATGAAGTCTGTTTTGCCATCATCGCTAACGTATGTCTAACAAGAAAATCTGTTGAAATGTTAATGATGTCAGTGAACATAGAGAGAGAGAGAGAGAGAGAGAGAGAGAGATTTTATTTACAGAAAGGTAGAGAGGTCGGCCTGAGCTATAGTTTGCTCTGGCCTGTTACTTACTCTACACTGGGGAAGGGTGACTGGGGAGTGAAAGAGCGATGAATGACGATGGTAAGGTAGAGAGATATGTTCTTATTTGACTGGGGAACTCTACAGACGTGCATCCAGTCCAGTGGCACCTAAGAAAGCGATGACGGCTCGTATAACCACATGTGTGCTGATGGCGTCAGGCCAATGACCTATAACACAACCTCATCGGTTAATGGTCGACTAATATATCGGCCAATTGAAGATATCAGTTGCTGACGTTCGCTTGCATATGCTGGACAGTCGCAAAATATATGTTAGAGCGTTTCTGACAACCGATAGTGACCACAATTGGGACCTGTGTCATTACAGCCAATCAATTGGGTGTAACGTCTCGTGTAAGCCACAGCGAGGCGAATGCGGTGGATAATGCATGAGATGCTTCGCTTTAACTTGTGAGGCTTACGGAACTTCATTT